CAGGTACGAGTCGATGCTCCGTTTCACGTCCCTCAACGACGCCGCGTCCGTCACGGAGGGAAGAATCGCGTCGACGGTCGGCAGCGGGCTTCCGACGTCGCGGTCGTCGTCGCCGTCGTCGTCGTCCACGGCGCGTCGTCGTCCACTTCTGCTTCTGCTTCTGCTTCTGCTCGTCGAGTCGCCGCCCCAGTGCGCGAGATCGTCGCCCTTGCGCCCCGGGGACGACCGCAGCGCCTTCCTCGCGTCGCGTCGCGCGCGCGCGTCCGACAGAATGTCAGCGTCCGACGGCGACGACCGGGACCTGCCTCCGGCGAGCGAAAACGTCCCCGCGAAGGAGGAGGAGGAGGAGGAGGAGGCGTCGTCGTCGTCGTCGTCGTCGTCCGAAGACGACTGCGAGCGCCGTTTCGTCTTCGACCCAGACCCCGTTCTTCTCGACCTCGACTTCTCCTCCTTTGGCGTCTTTTCCCGCCGTTCTTCCCGCTTCTTCGCGCGCTTCTTCTTCGCCCTCTTCTTCTCTTTCTTCGCCGCCTTCTTCGCCGCCTTCTTTTCGTCTCGACGTCGTTCCTTCTCCTCCTTCTTATCTCTCTTCTTCGCTCTCTCCTTCTTCTCCTTCTTCGAGACTTCCTCCCGCGTCGTCGTCGTCGTCGACGACTTCGCGACGACCCCGAGCGGCTTCTGGTGCAAAATCTCGCGCGCGCCGTCGTCGTCCACCGTCTTCCACCGCCTCGTCGCGAGGAGCGCTCTCGTCCCGCTGAAACCGCCGCTCCTCTCCGGCCGCGGCGACCCCGGCGGCGACCCCGCGGGCGACATCAGCATCGGACTCCCGACGAGGGTCTCGTTGGCGTGCACGACCGAACGCACGAGCCGCGTCTCCATCTCGCGGAGTTTCTGCGACGAAAGTCGGGGTGGAGTTGAAAGGCGTCAGAAACGGAGTTGAAAGGCGTCGCGGGCGAGGATTGAAAGCGAGGGACCCTGCGCGGAGAGACGCGCCGGGAAAAGTCCTTAAGGATCGGCGTTCGCAACGCCGACGCGGTCGTATGGGGACCAGTGTGACATAGAACGCACCTTCTCCACGGCGGCGATGACGTGCGCGTCTGAGTGCGCGTCGTCGTCGTCGTCGTCGTCGCGCGCCGCCAAACCCGACGCCAACGACGCCCCCCCGATCGACGACGGCGACGGTCCGCCGAGCGCGCCGATCGCGTTCCCCCACGACGCCGTCGGCGGCGACCACGCTGCCTCGCGACGACGTCGGCGTCGCGCGTCGAGGGAGTCGTCGTCGAAGTCGTCGTCGTCGTCGTCGTCGTCGAGGGACTCGGGGACGACGACTCGGGGCGGCGGCGGCGCCGCCGCCGCCGCGCGCTGGCGACTCCCGGGCCCCCTCGACGCGCTCCCTCCGGCGCTTTTACTCGGGCTCCAGTACGAGAACGCGAGCGGGTCCACGCGCGGTCCGGGCTCGTTCGAGAAGTCCGGGACGGCGCCGGCGCCGACGTCGAACGTCGGCGGCGACGTCCTTCCCGACGACGCGGGCGAATGCAGAAAGGCGCCGCCGCCGCGATGCAGGAACCGCCGCGTGTAGTCCGCGTAGAACCCGTGCTCGGACGCGTTCGGGTGCTCCGCGCCGTTCATCGCCGGCGACGGCGTGCGGCTCTTCCCGGGGGAGCGACGGTTGGAATACGACGACGACGGCGACGACGACGACGCGCGGCGCGTCGACATCGCCTCTCGCGTCGCGTTCGCGCGTCGTCGCGCGGCGGCCGCGAGCGATTCCTCCGCGACGCGTCCGACGGCGTCCGTGCGGATCCTCGCGATGTTCCACGCGGTCTTCGCGGCGACGGAACGCAGCTCGCGCTCGGGGACGCACTCGTCGAACCGCTCGTCGTCGTCGTCGTCGTCGTCGTCGGGGCGACGATTATCCCTTGGAGGAGTGCTGATGAACGACCCGCTGAGTCCTCGTCCTCCTCCTAGCTCCGCCTCGAGCGCCTCCTCCTGCCTCGAGAGCTCGTCGAACATCGCGTCCTCCGCGCCCGCGGGAGGTGGCGTCCGCGACATGCCTACGGACGCGCGCTCCCGGGCATCACAGCGGTCGCGACGTCGGCGCGGGACGCGCCCTCCGCGCGGTCGTGGTGTGGCTGCAGTCCTGTCAACAATTCATGTCCCTGACGACTCGCGCTCGACCGACGCGACGGGCGGGCGGGAGCTTTGATGAGTTTTGGTCGGAGCCGCGGGGGGCGCGCGCACTCGATCAATCGCGCCCCAGCGACCGAACCAGTCGCCGTTCCGACGAGACGCGCACCGCGTCGTCAGTCAGCGGCGCGACACCACCCGCCCGCGGCGCGACCGCGAGGACAGAGGACGCGCGTCGTCGTCGGCGTTCGTCGGCGTTCGCTTCGTTTCTTCGCTCGCCATCATGAGCATCTCGACCCAGGCGTCGTTCGAAAGCGGGCACGTGGACCAGATTCACGACTGCCAGTACGACTACTACGGGAGGGTGCGTCGAGCTCGTTCGTTTCCCTCTCGCGACGTCGGCGAAGACGCCGCGGATCGACCGCGCCGCGATCGCCGCGCGCGCGCCGTCGTCGATCGAATCGACCGCGGCGCGGGTTTGAACGTGATTAATTAATTAATCCCCACCAGATCCCCGCCGACCGTCGAACGACCGATCGCGTCGATCTGACCCTCCTCCCCACCTCCCCTCGATTCGTGCATCGCGTCGTCCAGCGCGTCGCGACGTGCTCGAGCGATCGCACGATCAAAATCTTCGACGTCGCGGGCGAGTCCTCCGCCGCGCAGCAGACGCTGATCGCGACCCTCACCGGCCACGACGGCCCAGTGTGGATGGTCGCGTGGGCGCACCCGAAATACGGAAATCATCTCGCGTCGTGCTCGTTCGACAACAAGATCATCATCTGGAAAGAGTCCGAGCAGGGCGTCTTCTCGCAGGCGTACGCGTCCCCGACGACGCTGCACGAGGCGAGCGTGAACGCGATCGCGTGGGCGCCGCACGAGCACGGATTAGTCCTCGCCGCCGCGTCGTCGGACGGCTCCGCGAGCGTGATCGCGAAACGCGCGGACGGGTCGTGGGACGCGAGCAAAATACCCGGCGCGCACTCGATCGGGTGCACGGGCGTGAGCTGGGCGCCCGCGGCGCCGCCCGGGTCGCTCGTCGCGGCGGGGGGTAACGCCCCAGCGCCGACCGTTAAACGGTTAGTCACCGGAGGGTGCGACAACCTCGCCAAGGTGTGGCGATTCGACGACGCGTCGAACCAGTGGAAGGAAGAGCACGCGCTGCGAGCGCACGGGGACTGGGTCAGGGACGTCGCGTGGAGCGCGAACATGGGGCTGCCGATGAACACGATCGCGACGTGCGGGCAGGACGGTAAGGTGTTCATCTGGACGCAGAACGAGCCGGGGGGGGCGTGGAATCACCGGCTTCTGAACGACTTCGGCGCGCCGGTGTGGAGGCTGAGTTGGAGCGTCATGGGGAACGTGCTCGCGGTGTCGGACGCGAACAACCTCGTGACGGTGTGGAAGGAGAGCGTGGACGGGAAGTGGGACCAGATCTCCGCGACGGAGTGAGGAGGACGAGGAAGAGAGGCAGGCGGAAGAGAGGTCTGTCGTGTAAAAACTTAAACACCTTCATCGTACTACAGTATCGGTCCCTATGATATCACGCTACGACTCTACTAGACTACCGACTAAAGAACCACTAGCTAGTCTAATCAATCCTACCTGACCTTGAGGTCACGCTCTACGAACCGCCTCCTCTTCCCCTCGCAGATGACGTCCGCCTCGTCCCGCCAATGCGCGTCCGTCCGGATGGCGAGGCTCAGCTCGTCGCCTTCCTTCGTCGCGTCGCCGCTCGTCGTGATCGGCTCGCCGCTGTAGGGTCGTTCCATACAAAGCGATGTCGGGGTGGAGTTCAAAGGCGTCAGTTGGAGTTGAAAGGCGTCGCGGTCGGGGATTGAAAGCGAGGGGTGGGCGGGGAGAGAGGACGGCAAAAGTCCTTAAGGATCGGCGTCCACCTCGCGAACGCGGTCGTATGGGGACCAGTGTATAGAACGCGCCTGTATTGCGCGTAAAAGACTCGGCGCTCGCGTCGCGATCTGTTCGGCCCGGAGGCGTGCCACAGATCGGACGAAAAAATCACCACGTCCCCAGCTTCAGCCCTGACGGTGACGTCTTTCCTTCCTCGCGCGCGTCCGGATCCGTCATCGTGGTGTGAGGGCCGTTCTATACGAGCGAATGTCGGGGTGGAGTTGAAAGGCGTCAGTTGGCGTTGAAAGGCGCCGAGGGCGGGGATTGAAAGCGAGGTGTGGGCGGAGAGAGACGCCGGGCAAAGTCCTTAAGGATCGGCGTTCACCACGCCAACGCGGTCGTATGGGGACCAGTGTGACATAGAACGCACCTGACGGCCGCAACACGAGCGACCCGTTTCGTTCGTCGACGGCGTCGAGGGGGCACCACAGGCTGACGTATTTCTGTTTCCGAGCATCCGGATTCGGAAGCAACGCGAGCTGTTCGTTCGCGTCCGTGTGCCACTCGAACCGATCGCCGCCGTCCTCGTCGTCCCCGGAATACTCGGCCGCGTCCGCGCATACGCCCGGCTTCACGACGTAGTGCTGATTGAACAGGTACGCGGCTTTCGAGCGTAAGAAAACTTTCGCGATCGACGGAAGCCATCGGAAGAGCACGGCGTCCAGGGCGTCGCACACCGCGCGCGCGTGGATCGCCTCAAAGGAATACTTCGGATCCTCCTCGTTGGGCATCATCCGCGTCCGACCCTCGCGCATCGCGAAGCTGTTACCCTCGTTACGGTGGGATATCGTATAGTCGCCAAACGCGCTCCGGTCGGGTCTGGCGCGCGCGTGCAGATAAGCCGCGACGCGCGTCATCCGTTTCTCCAGGAAGTATTTGCCGCATCGCCTCGCCGAGCACGCCTCTCTCTCGCGATGCGGCGACGGCGACGTGCTTTGATGCTCGCAATCGCAGTAAAATCGTCCGAAGCCGTCGGAATCGTCGTAGCTCTTCTCGCGCCGCCGAGCGTCGCGTTTACGTTTCCTCTTTTCATCGACGGCGACGTCCTCCATCGGTTCCACCATGCAGTCGTTCGCCCTCAGGTCCACGCCTTCGGCCAGCGCGTCGCACTCGAACCGCAGCGCCTCGATGACTTCGTCGAATTCCCATCGCTTCGCGTCGTCGACGTAGTGTCCGACGTCGTCGTTCAGGTGCTGGTCGAGGCGGAGGATACAGAAGCCGTCGCGCTGAGGGCCATTCCATACGAGCGAACGTCGGGGTGGAGTTCAAAGGCGTCAGTTGGAGTTCAAAGGCGTCGAGGACGGGGATCGAAAGCGAGGTGTGGGCGGAGAGATGCGCCGGGCAAAGTCCTTAAGGATCGGCGTTCACCACGCCAACGCGGTCGTATGGGAACCAGTGTGTAGAACGCGCCTGAAAGCTCGCGCGCAGCTCGTCGAGATCGCCCGGGGTCATCCCGCTCCCCCACGCGGAGAACTTCATCGGCGACGCGACGTCCACGTCGACAGCCTCGCGTGCCGCCGCGGGGACCGCGTTTGACGCGCGCGTCGACGCGTCGCGCGCCGCGAGACGCGTCATCGCGCGCGACGGCGGTGTGATGAACGACCACCGTGGGCGACCAGTGGTTGTTTTATGGTTTTATTCGTTCTGTTCTTTTCGTCTTCGACGACAAATCTTACATTACAATCACCGACCGCGTCGGTCGTCTACCTCGCGTACCACGCCGCGTCCTCCTCCTCCTCCTCCTCCTCCTCCTCCTCGAACTCCGCGCCAACCTCGTACCACTCCCGCCGCGCCTTCCCCAGCGCGCGCATGTAGTTGAACGGGTTGTGATGCCGCGAGATCGACCCTCGGTTGCCGTACGCGCGAGGGTCGGATAACACCGTGAGCGGGTGCGGCGTGTTCAACAACACGCGTTGCGCCGCGTCGCGGCCTCTCTCCTGTAACAGCGCCGCGATTTGATCGTCCGCTGTCGACGCGTCGTCGTTCGGGTTCTGCGACGACGAATTCGAGAACGCGCGTATCGCGTCGCTGTCGACGCTGCCGAGCAGCAGCGACGCGGTGAGCGCGGCGTCGGACTGCGTCAGGCACGCGAGGCGGTTCAGCTGTCGCGCGTCGGCGCCGTCGTCGAGCCTCTTGGCGCCGCGGCGCTTCTTCCTTCTTTTGCGCGACTTCTTTGATTTTTTCGCGGCGTCCGAGGCGTCCGAGCGTCCGTCGTCGCGATTCCCCGGGACGCGCGTCCGCGGCGCGAACAAGACGGACGGGGAGAGGATTCGCCCGGGGCCCCCCGATCCGTCGCCGTCGTCGTCGTCGGACGAGCCGCCGCTCTCGTCGCTGCTGCTCTCCTCCTCCGCGCCGTCGCCCCACCACTCCCTCGCGCCGACGATCCCGCCGCCCGGCTTCCTGTCCAGCCACGTCTCCTCGTCGCCCTCGCCGAGGGACCCCTCGCCGGCGACGCGGTCCGCGAGCATCTCGTACAGCCCCTCCCCGGCGAGCGCGTATAACCCGGGGCCGGGGGGTAAGAGCGGGTGCGCGCTGCCGTGCATCGCCTGCGGGTTGGAAGCGTTCGGCGTGTCAGCGTGTGTGGGAAATACGATACGATACGATAACGAACGCGCGGTCGACGACGCGCGAGGGGAGCGAAGAAGCGCATCTCTCGATGATCGACACGTGGCAGGAAGCGACACGTGGCAGGCAACAACACGAACACGCGCCTGCAAGAGGAGCATGTCGCCCATCGGCGCGTAGAACATCTCCTCCTCGAGAAAGCTCGGCTGCTCCCCGAGCGGCACCTTGAACGCGCCGGGGGCGGACTCCAACATCTTCCTCGCCCACTGCGGGTAGTAGCAGCTGAACGACCGAGGGACGAGGTCTTTCCCCATCGTGACGCTCCGCAAGAACGTCCGCGGGAGCCCCAACCGCGCGAGCAACGCGTCGCCGCCGCACAAGACGTACGGCGACCCGAACGTCCACACGTCTCGCATGCTCTCCCTCGGCGCGACGTTCCGCAGCACGAGCTGCAGGGCGATGATGGTCGCGATGGACCCGCCGATGGAGTGCCCGGTGACGTGGATTTTCGCGTTTGGTCCGTGTGTTGCCACGTGGCGACGCACGACGTCCTCGACGCGCGCGTAAATGTCGCACGCGGCGGCGTAGGACCCTCTGTGCACGCGGACGTCGAGCGCGGCATCCTCGAACGTCGTCGGCTGGAACGTGAAGTTCGTCTGCCACGACGCCAGAGACGTGCTGCCCTCGACGACGACCCAGAGGTGGCCGTGCGCGTCGTCCGCGGCGACGCAGAAGTTCACCGGGAGCGACTGCGATTCCCCCCCGGGGGATCCGGATGATCCGGCGGTTTTGGTTTTGGCGCCGCCAAAACCAAAACCTTTATTTTCGCCGTCGCCGCTCGCGTCCGCCGTCTCGAGCGCTCTCGCGAGCTCCTCGACGACGTTCCCGGGTCTATCGCCGCGCTGCTTCGATTTCGATGATTTTGACTTCCTCCTTCGCGCCTCCGCGTTCGCGCGCACGTCTTCGAGCTGCGCCGCGGCCGTCTGCGCGTGCTTCGCCGCCTCGCGCGCGGCTTCCAGCGAGCTTCCCGCGTCGTCGCCGCCTCGCGAGCGCAGCTCGGACGCCCTCGAGAGCTCCTCGATCGCGGCGTCCGCGGCGGCCATCGCGCGCCGCGTCGCGGCGATCTCCTCGTCGGTCGCGGCGTCGAGGAGGTCGTCATCGTCGGCGTTGTTTTCATAGACGCCGCCGGGCGCGTCGGCGACGTTCGCGTCGTTCTTGGACTTCGCCTTCGACGGCGGCGACTTTTCATACTTTTCGCCGTTGCTCTTCTTCTTCGCGCGCCCCACGCCGCCGCGTTCAATCTCGTCGTCCAACGACGACACCACCAATCGGAGTCCGTGCCGCTTCAGCGATCGGTGCATGCGCGGCAGGTAGTATATCCACGCCGCGAGCGCGCACGCCATGCGCGCCTCCCTGAGGTCGACCGCGCTCGCGGGCTCGAGCGACGACGCCACAACCTTTCGCAGCGCCGGCTGAATCAACGCGCCCGCCTCGGACGCCGTCAGCGGCTTCCTTTCGCTCGCGTCCGCCACCTCGCTTTCCGTGCTGAACAGCTTCGTGACGCTCGCGGCGGACGACGCGCTCCACTCCGTGATCCGCGCCATCGTGTCGGAGAGCGCGATGGCGCCGGTGACGTCGCGCGCGACGGTGACGACGCCGCCGCGCCACCGCCCGACGCCGCCGCGTCCTTCCCCGAGCGTCCACGTCTCGTCCGTCTCGTCGTCGCCGTTGAAGAGGATGGAGTTGGAACTGTCGCCCCCTCGCGGCGGTTCGGGTTTCAGGCCCCATCGCGTCGCGCCGAGGTCGACGGCGTTCGCGACGCCCAGCCCCGCGGCTTTCACCGCGGATTGCGACCGCCGCGACGCGTCTATGAGTTTCTCGCCGGCGCGAAACAACGCCGTCTTGGTCGCCAGCCGTCGCGACGCGTCGACGTCCTCGGTCGCGCGCTCAGCCTCCGCGCGCGCGCGCGCCACCTCCCCGACCGCGTCGCGCAGCGCGTCCTTCGCCTCCGCCGCCTCGCGCGCTTTCACCTTGGCCGTCTCGAGCGCCGTCTGAAGCTCGCGGAGCCGCTGCGGATCGTTCGAGTTGGGGTTGATTCGATCTTCAGAATCTCCGCCATCTTTTTCATTCGCGTCGTCGTCAACGCCGGGCAGCGCGGTGGCCGTCCGCCCCGCGGCGGCGGCGGCGGCGAAGAGATCGTCCTGCGCGACGTCCGCCCCCCCCGCCGCCGCCGCCGCCGCCTCGCGCGCGTCGACCGCCGCGAGCGCGGCGTCGAGCTTTCCGATCGCGAGCTCCGTCGCGCGCACGGCGAGGTCGTTGGACGCGTCCAGAGATTTGGTCACCCACGACGCCGAACTCGACGCGTCGCCGCCGTCGGCGAACGCGTCGGCGAACGCGGCGTCGTCGAACGCGGCGGCGGAGGACGACGCTTCGTCGCGCGAATCCGAATCGTCGCGCGAATCCGAATCGTCGTCGGACGCGACTACTGACGCGTCGTCGTCGATCGACGCGTCGTCGCCGTCGCCGCGTTCGTCGCCGATGAGGACGCCGCGCAAGACGCGGCTCGCCTGCGCTTTCAGCCACGGGGGCAGCGGGACCCTCGCGGCGAAGACGTCCGTCGTTCGTTCGTCTCCGTTCGCCGTCGCGTCTCTTCCGTCCTCGGCGACGCGCGCGTCGGCGTCGTCGTCGTCGGACTCGTCGGAATCGCCCAGGCTCCATCGTTTCGTCCACGCGAACCATCCGCCGCCGTCGTCGTCCGCGTCCGCGTCGTCGTCCGCGTCGTCACGAGTACTACTCCCCGCGAGCTCTGGTGCGACGACGGCGGGATCTGGGGACGCCTCGCGGCGCGCGACGTCGTCCCTCGCGCCCGCGCGAAGGCGCGTTCGTCCGCGTCGGTCCTCGCGACGCGTCGCGACCGCGGGCGTCGCGGCGTCGTCCTCGCGAGGCGCCGCGGCCCAGCGCACGAGCCGACGCGGCGTTCGACGGTCGTTTCTGCATTTCTTCTTCGGTCCTCCGACGAAGAAACCAACATCGTCGTCCGCAGCCGTCTCCGCGCGCGTCGACGCGCGCGCGCACATCGCCGCGGCGCGACGCGCGCCTCGCCGCGCGCATATCGCCCCCGCTTCACGCGCGCGCGCCGCCGGCGCCGCGGCGGGCGCGACGCGCGGCGCCGCGGACGCCGCGCGCATTCCCCCCTCCCGCGCGCGTCGGGCGAATGGACCAGGCTTGCCGCCACGCGGACGCATTTTAACGGACGAAAGCGCGTCTGGGAGGCTGACGCGGACGCCCGGTGCCTTCCCGCGCGCGCGCTGGAGTTTTGGCGCGGTCGGCGTCAAGCACCAGACGACGGCGAGCTCGAAATAAACCTGACCCGAATCTCGTCAGTGCCCTTCGCGCGGCGCGGCACACCGCACCCCCCCCCCCGCCCCCCCCCCTCTCGTCGTCATCATCATGGCGACGCCCTCCGACGTCACCGCGATCCGCGAGACGTTCGAGGCTGCCGACCAAGGCCACGTCTTCGCGCACTACGACGCGCTCGACGCGTCGCAGCGCGCGTCGCTGTCGGCGTCGCTCGCCGCGATCGGAGATCCGCATCGCGCGGCGTCCATCTACGCGCGGTCTACCGCCGCGCACGCCGCGAACGCGTCGTCCGATGGATCCGGTGATCCCGCGGGGTCCTCCCTGTACTATGCGCCCGTCGCCGCGGACGACGGCGTCGACACCGCGGACGCGAGCGTCGTCGCGAGATGGACAGAGGAAGGGATCGCGATCGCGCGACGCGGCGAGCTCGCGGTCGTCCTACTCGCGGGAGGGCAAGGCACGCGACTGGGGAGCGCGGACCCGAAGGGGATGTACGACATCGGGCTCCCTAGACACAGGAGCCTGTTTCAGTTCCAAGCGGAGCGGCTGCTGAAGCTGACGCGATTGGCGGGGAAGGAAGGAGAGGGCGTTGGGGAGAGAGCGATCGTGCCGTGGTACGTGATGACTTCGCCGCACACGCACGCCGCCACGGTTGAGTATTTTCGCGAGAAGAATCACTTCGGGCTGCCCGAATCCGAGATCACGTTCTTCCAGCAAGGCACGCTGCCGTGCTTCGACGACGACGGGAAGATGATCATGAAGTCGAGGCACGAGGTGGCGACCGCGCCGGACGGGAACGGCGGCTTGTACGCCGCGCTCCACGCGTCGGGCGCGATCGACGACATGCGACGCAGGTGCGTTCTATACACTGGTTCCCATACGACCGCGTCGGCGTGGTGAACGCCGATCCTTAAGGACTTTTCCCGGCGCATCTCTCCGCCCACCCTCGCTTTCAATCCCCGACCTCGACACCTTTCAACTTCAACTGACGCCTTTCAACTCCACCCGGACGTTCGACGCAGAAACGTTAAACACGTGTACGCGTACTGCGTCGACAACGCGCTCGTGAAGCCCGGGGACCCGACGTTCGTGGGATTCTGCGCGCTGCGAAACGTTGCCGCGGGCGCCAAGGTGATCGCGAAAGCGGCCGCGGACGAGCCCGTGGGCGTGTTCACGCGGCGGGACGGTAAAGGTGCGTTCTATACACTGGTCCCCATACGACCCCGTTCGCGTGGTGAACGCCGATCCTTAAGGACTTTGCCCGGCGCGTCTCTCCGCCCATCCCTCGCGTTCAATCTCCGCCCTCGACGCCTTTGAACTCCACCTGACGCCTTTGAACTCCACCCCGCCATCGCTTTGTATGGAACGACCCTAAAGTCCACGTCGTGGAGTACTCCGAGATGCCGGCGGCGCTCGCGACGGCGACGGACGCGGACACCGGGAAGCTCACGTACGACTGCGCGAACGTCGCGCTGCACTACTACAGCTTCGACTTCCTCGCGAAGTGCTGCGACCCGGACGGGGAGGTGCAAAAAGCGCTGACGTATCACGTCGCGCGGAAGAAGATCCCGCGGTTGAGCGACGACGACGCGACGACGACGACGCCAGAGTCGCCCAACGGCGTGAAACTCGAGGCGTTCATCTTCGACGCGCTGCAGTTCGCGGGCGACTCCGTCGCGTTCCTGCGCGGCGTTCGCGAGGACGACTTCGCGCCGGTGAAGAACGCGGAGGGGACGGGGAAGGACTCGCCGGACACCGCGAGGAAGCTGGTGAGCGGGCAGCACGTCCGGTGGATTGAAAAGCACGGCGGCTCGGTCGTCTATAACATGGACGACGCGGGGTGGGAGATCGCGCCCGCGGTGTCGTACGCGGGGGAAGGCCTGGAGGAGATCGTGAAGAAGAAAGGGGCGTTTCCGTTCATGGCGTACAGGGATAACCTCGAGCCGGACTTGGAGGAGGCTCGGAGAAAGCGCACGGCGGGGGCGGTCGCGGCGGAGGACGCGCGAATGGCGAAGAAATGAAAATTGATTTCAGTTCGTTCGCGTAACCGGACAGGACGGAATCGGAACGCGTCGTCGGTTCGAACGATTCGATTTAATGATTGATTATAATCACAAAAATAGTCGTCGCTACGCTTCGTCTCGTCTCTTCCACGCACTGCATGTTCTGTCCGTATGGCATGTGTCCTCCTCCTCCTCCTCCTCCTCCTCCTCGCCTCGCCTCATCACGCGCGTCCTCTCCCGCGTCGTTTACTCCTCGCGCCGCCGCCGCCGACGCCGCCGCCGTCCGAACCCCCGCCGTTCGTCGCCGTCGGCCGCGGTTTCGGCAGCGGGATCGTCGTGTTCGTCGTCTTCGCCGCCGGCACCGCCGAAACCGGCGCGACCGCGGAGACCGCGGAGACGACCGCCGGGGAAACCTTACCTGTATTATTCTCTTCGTCGTCGAGGACGAACCCGAACCTGCTCCTGGACGTCGTCGTCATCGTTCCCGTCGCGCCGCCGCCCGCCGCGCTCGTCGCGCCGCCGCCGTCGCCGCCTCCGCCGCCGTCCGCCTTCTTCATCGCCGCCCACGGGTCGAAGACGTTTGCGTTCGTGTCGTCGAACAGCGAGTCCGGGAAAGCCGCGCTCGCGTCGTCGCTCCCCGCCGGCGCCCTCGGCGTCGACGCCGACGCGTTCTCTTTCCCCCCGTCTTCGTCTTCCCCCACCGTGTGATGAGTCTCTTTCGCCTTCGACGCCGCATCGCGCTCGAGCGTGCTCACGGAAGGCACCCTCGGGAGCGGCGGGCCCTTCCCGCCCGCGAATATCCCGACGCCGTTCTTGCGGTCGCGCGTCGACGTCTTCTTCTTCTCCCCGCCGCCGGCGGACGCGGCGGCGGCGGCGGTTGGATTCAAATTCACGTCGCCGCCGAACAGCGTCCCGAGATCGATCCTCGTCCGCGTCGTCGCGGATCCGTTCGTCGCCGCGGATCCGTTCGTTCCCAACGCGCTGAACCCCTCCGCGAGGTTTAGCAGCCCGTTCGCCGTCGTCCCGACGGGAAGCGGCGGGAGCGGCGGACCCGACCGCGGCGCCGCCGCCGGGCCGCCGTTCCCGCCGCCGCCGCCGGATATCCCCCCCCACGCCCCCGCCGCTCCCGGCGGCGGCGGCGGCGGCGGCGGCGGCATCCCCCCGAACGGCACCGGCAGCCTCGGCGTCGGTAAACCCCCCGTCAGCTTCGACCCCGGCGGCGCCGGAATCGTCTTCGCTCCGCCGCCGCCGCCGCCGCCGCCTCCACCTCCCTGTTTACTCCCGTACCGCGCGAGCATCTCCTCTTTCGTGAACGAGTCCGCGTCGTCGCCGATCGTGTGCAGGTACGCGCACTCCGGATTCCGACACTGCTCGTGTCGAATGAACGCGTTGCAGTACTTAGGGCCGTTCCGTACGAGCGAACGTCGGGGTGGAGTTGAAAGGCGTCAGAAGCGGAGTTGAAAGGCGCCGAGGTGTGTCGGGATTGAAAGCGAGGGGTGATGGGCGGAGAGAAACGCCGGGAAGTAAAGTCCTTAAGGATCGGTGTCCACCTCGCCGACGCGGTCGTATGGGAACCAGTGTATAGAACGCACCTTAGTCGTGCCGTGACACGCGCGAAGCGATTTCCCATCCAGGCGCGTTCCGTCGACGGCGGCGACGCATCGCCGCGCCGCGTCGTCCGAGGCGTACGTGATGTACGCTCCCCCGGTCAGCTCGCTCGCGGGGGTGTTGGCGCCGTAGCGATTGCGCGCGACGTAGTCCACGTGCCGCGGCGGCGCGGTCTGGCACTTCGTGATTCGCCCGAAGCGTCCGAAGAGATCGTTCCCGCGAAGCGCGCTCTCTACGCAGTACTTTTCCGTGAGGCCGACGACGTAGACTAGGTTTCGCTGGACGACGCGCACGTTCGCGAGGTGCCTCCGCGACGCGCCGCCGCCGCCGTCGTCGTCGCCCCCGCCCCCCGGGCCCCCTCCCGATGAGATTCTCGACTTCGTCTTTTTCTTCTTCGCGGCGGACCGCTCGAGCTCCTCGGGATCCGGCGGCTCGAAGCGTATCGTGCTCTCGTCGTACGGCGTCCTGCACGCCGGGCACTTGCCCTTGCCGTCGTCCTTCGCCGCGAGCTCCATCACTGCGAGGGGAGGAGAGAGGGGCGCGGAGGGTCAGCGCGCGAGTCCGCGGCGAAGAGAAGGGAGGACGCGGCGCGGACGGAGGGGCGAGGGTTCGCGGATCAGATTCGTCGCAGCTGTGAACCAACTTATTATTCGATTCTCGCCCTCGAGGAGGACGAGGACGAAGCGTGGGGCGGTCGTGGGGGAGCACGCACGCTGATGCCAGCACCACGCGCATATCTGGTACCCGCAGCGACACGGCCGGAAGTGCCGGTCCGTCGCGTCTAACGCGTTGCAGCACAGCGGGCAGTCGCTGCACTCGCCGGCGCCGTCGTCGTCGTCGGTCGCCATCGCGCCCCGCGACCCCCTCTCGTTAGTAGGGGCTCGCTCGCGCGCGACTGTGTCGAGCTAAGTTCTTTCCTCCCCCGAGAAGACGCGCGCCGCGCGCGCCGCCGTCTTCGCGTCGCCCGCGATCACGTCAAAACGCCGTAACGCCCGAGAGCGTTGTGTCAACCGGCCAGACCCCGGTTCCACCCCGCGCGCGTCGACGGAGTGAAGAGAAGAAAGATTTGCCAGCGCGTTTGTCATCAGACCTCTGGCTGATGAGCTGAGAGGTCGCGGACGACGACGACGCGCCACACAGATCCACACGGCGGCGCTCCCAGCCTGTCGAAATGGCAGCGCGGCTCATCCGCCGCCGGTTCCGCGGACGAACCGCGTCCTTCCACGCGCCGCGCGGGCGGACGTCGGCGGCGTGATGCTCGAACTCCGAGCGAGCCGCGAGCGCGCCGGCGCGATGGGGCCGATCCCGACGCTTCCGCGATCTCAACACCCTCTCGCGCCATCATCATGGCGCCGGCGGACGCCGTTGCGCGTCGGCTTCCTCTTCGCGCTCGTGATGTGCGGCGCAGTCGCCGTGCGCGTCACGAAGACGACGACGTTCCCGTTCGGCGAAGCGGTCGCGATCGTTCGGGAACATCGGACGGCGGCGACGACGACGCGCGTCGCGGCGTCGCGCGAGGGCGACGACGACGAATCGCGACGAACCGCAACCGTCGCGCGACGCGCGTCCGTCGACGACGACGCCGACGACGACGCCCGCGCGCCGCCGCCGCCGCCGTCGTCGTCGCCGTCTTCGTCCGGCGAAGACTGGCTCGACGCCGCGAGAGACGGCCTGGTCCTCTCCCCGACCGCGTTCGCCGACGCGATCGTCGCGTCGCCGAGCTCGTACCTCGTCCTCGAGCCCTCGCACGGGCTATCGAACAGGCTTCGCGCGATTGCGGCGGGCGCGCGGTTGGCTCGAGAGACGAATCGAACGCTGATCGTCGCGTCCTATCCCGTCGGCGTCTTCAACGCGACGCTCTCGTCGCTGTTCACGACGTCGTTCCTCCGCGCGATGCAGGGGGGCGCCGACGGGGGGCTGGGGGCGAAGCTTCTCGAGCGTTCGCCTCGCGCGGTGGGACTGTACGATCCGCGCTCGGATCTCCGACGCGCGTTCAGGCGCGTTCTATACACTGGTCCCCATACGACCGCGTCGGCGTGGTGAACGCCGATCCTTAAGGACTTTACTTCCCGGCGTTTCTCTCCGCCCAAACCCCGCTTTCAATCCCCGACCGCGACGCCTTTCAACTTCATCTGACGCCTTTCAACTCCACCCCGACTTCGCTTCGTATGGAACGACCCTCAGCGCCTTCGTCGACGCGAACCAAATCGGCGGGTTAGAAAAAGCCGCCGCCGCGCTGTCGCTCGATCCCGCGAACGCGAACGCGTGGACGCGCGCGGTGTACGTCAGGTCGGGGTTTGGCGTGCTGCTGAACACGAAGGAGGAGGAGGACGCGCTCCGCGACGGCGCGTTTTACGCGACGTTGGAGCCGTCGCCGGAGGTGGAGAGATTGACGCGGGACCCGTCGCTCGGCGATCGCGCGTTGTCCGCGATGGTGAGACTACCGTACACTACTTACTGTCTTTCCATGCGACCACCCCCCACCTCGCGAGGACTTCTTTCAATCTTTCTTTCAAGCGCCGCTCGGACCCTCCTCCTCCTCGCGTTTTGACGCGTGGGAACGCCGTTCCACCAATCGCGCGCTCATCACGCGACTGACGCTCGTCTTCGTCTTCATCTTACGCGTCGTCAGTCGGACGACGAGCTCGTGTCCGCGCACATCCGCGGAGGGTTGGACTCGAAGCTTCCGAAGGCGAGTCTGGTGCCCGCGAGCGCGTCCCTCGCGAACGTCCCGGAGGAGAGCTTGGAGGCGGTCGTGTCGAAGTACTGCTGCGACTATATGCGGAAGAGATGCACGCCGGAGACGTTCGCGAACGCGCTGATGAAGAAGGCGAGCGCGCGCGTGGAAAAGAAAAATGGAAGCGACGAGGGCGACGAGCGGAGAAACGCGACGACGACGACGACGACGAAGACGACGACCGTCTTCATCGCCGCGGACGACGCGGACTTCGTCGCAAACATCAACGCGCGCCTCTCCCCAAGGGAATCGTATCGCGTCGTGTCGTTGCGTCGACCGCCGAGCTGCGACTTTGGTTACGGCCCGGCGAGAGACGAGACGTGCATGCGATACGCCGTCGCGGACATGTTTTTGCTCGCGAGAAATCCCGGCCCGCTGATAAAGAGCACGGGGTCTTCGTTCTCGGATGTCGCGATTTATTACCGCAGAGCGCGAGGGCGCGCGAGGGACGACGCGGAGGACGGCGCGGACGCGGCGGGTCCGGGACGCGTGTCCGAAGGGTGCGCGGGAGAAAAAACGCGCGTCGCGCCGAAATCGAAAAAAGTCGGGAAAAAAAAAACCTGGAAAGGGCTACACGTAGGTAGGCCTCGTAAGCCTAAGGTACATAGTCTAGTAGATACGTAGCGGTAGCACCTTCGAAGCGATGAGGTAGCATGTGTGTAGTATGTATGTATGCGCGTGCTGTCTTCGCGTCGCGTGGAGCGACGAGCGAGGCGCGCGCGGTGGGCGAGAGGACGATCTTCGCCCGAGACTGGAAAAAAGTTAAAGTTTTCGAGACGCCGCGTGTCTCATCACAAAGGAAGGCGTCGCCAATCGTCGTCGAACCGCCCGCCCTCACCATCAATTCGTCCATCTCACGGATCTCCTCTCCTCTCCTCCCATCCTTCATCACGCGCCCGCGAGGAGCGTGTTCCCCCCCTTATACACGAGCGGCTTCGCCGGCGCGAGGTCCGCCATGAGCGCGTTCTGCTTCTCGATGTGCCGCAAGAAGTACTCGTCGTCTCTATTGACGATTTTCGCCTCTCGCACGTGCACGACGTCGGCGTCGTCCACGTCAAAGTCGACGTCCGCGACGCAGACGGGCGAGCCGTCGAGCGCGGACGCGCCGCCGTTCCACTGCAACACCGTCGTCTTCTCCTTCATCCGCGCGAGCTGCTCCCGGAGCGTCGGCTCGTCGATCTCCATCAACGACGCGAGCTTGGCCACGGAGACTGAGGGTCGAGGGTCCATACGAGCGAACGTCGGGGTGGAGTTGAAAGGCGTCAGAAGCGGAGTTGAAAGGCGCCGAGGTGTGTCGGGATTGTGAGCGAGGGGTAGTCGGAGTGATGCGCCGGGCAAAGTCCTTAAGGATCGGCGTTCACCACGCCGACGGGGTCGTATGGGAAACAGTGTGAGATAGAACGCGCCTGACGCGTAGAGCTTGAGAAACGATCGCAGCGTCGGCAGCTTCGACGCGGCGCCGACGTCGGCGAGGAACAGCTTGAGCTGCGCCCTGTACGCCTCCTCGTTGAAGTTCGCGGCCGCGCTCCCCGGGTCGATCGCGGTCGCGGTCGCGTCGCCGCCGTTTCCGCCGCCGCCAATCTTCGGCGGCTCCGGCGTGACAAACTTGGGGCATCCAAACGAGAAGAGATCGTCGTACGCGCTCACCACGCCTTGGCTCATCCGGCTCACGTCGTCGCCGTGCTTCTCTCGAAGCGCCGCCGCGACGCCCTCCTCGAGCGCGCGCATCACCGCGCTGTTCGCCGCGCCGCTCGAACCGCCGCCTGAACCGCCGCCGCCGAGGACGACGCACATCGCGAGCACCGTGTACATCTGCTCCTGTTTCTTCACGAGCAGATCCATCCCGTGCTGCTCGCGGGGTGGAGTTGAAAGGCGTCAGAAGCGGCGTTGAAAGGCGACGCGGGCGGGGATTGAAAGCGAGGGACCCTGGGCGGAGACACACGCCGGGAGCGAAAGTCCTTAAGGATCGGCGTTCACCACGCCGACGCGGTCGTATGGGAACCAGTGTGAGATAGAACGCACCAGCTTCGTCGCCGATACCTTGCGGCGGTTCACGAAGAGCAACGCGCCGTTGAAGTGCCTCGCCGCGTCCGTGTACCTCCCCAGCATGAAGTACGCGAACCCGACGTGGTACGCGACGCTGACGCGCGCGCCCGCGACTTTCGTGAACAATCCCGGCTTATCCAGATCGATCGGGTCCAGCGCGAGAAGCGCGGGCTCGTACTCGCCGAGGAGGCACCGCACGCGGCACGATCCGATCAGCGCGAAGTACCCGAGCGCGGTGAGCACGTTGGAGGCTTTGTGATCGTACCCCTCGCGCTCGCTGAAGGACGCGTCGGGTCCGCGCGATTCGCGCTCGTTGGCGAGGGTTTGCACGATCCCGGACTTGTCCACGAGCGCTTGGAGGTAGTTCAGGACGCCGACGGCGTTCCACACGTTGTCGCACTGCTTCAAGAGCTCGAGCTCTTGCTTCGTCTTGACGCTCACCTTGCCGCGGTACTGACAGAACGACTGGAACTGATACAGGTACTCGTCGATCATGTCCCACAGCCACAAGTTCGGGAGCTGCATGTTCACGTTCCCTTGCAGCACGATGTCGAACAGAGCGCAGTAGTTGTCCCAGCTCTCGCAGCGTTGCTCCAACGTCGGCGTCACTTTTCCGTAGACGTGCCGGAAGTACAGCTCCTTGTACATGAGGCCAAAGACGTGGTCGTTGTCGGCGAAGCGCGCGACCGCCTCCGCGTGCGGCCACGGCGACGCCTTGAAATACTTCTCGCTGATCGCGGGGAAGGATTTCTCGTACATGGAGAGGATCTCGTACACTGTCGGTGACGCGCGGGAGGAGGTCGCACGGGGGTGGAGGGCGAGGGTGAGGATCGATCGAGCGAGCGAGCGCGATCAGGGTTCTAAAAACTCTCTTCGAGGAGAGGGCCGCGATCGATCGGTCGAGCGATCGCGCGCGCGATCGAGACGCGGCGCGGCGATCGAGACGCGGCGCGAGCGTCGAGGCCGCGGCGTACCGTTCTTCTCGCGGATGTGACGGTAGAAGTACACGACGAACTGCTTCACCATGTCCGGCACCGGCTCGTTGGCCTTCGCCAGGTCCGCCATCGCGCTCGGCGGTGCGTCGTCCGCGTCTTCGCCTCGCGCTCGCGCTTCTGATGAGGCTTCTCCGCGCTTCTTCGACGCGGCGCGGCCCTGGTCTCGCGCGAGCGGTTCGAACCTCGCTGCCTGCTGCCTGCTGCCGCGCGAAGGTCGCACGTCGCTTCGCGCGCGGCTCGTGCGGAGGCGCGGGCGGGAAAGGGCGCGCGCGAGGCTCACCCCCCCCCCGGTTCGTTCGCGCCGCCGACGGCGAACCCGGACCTAGACGCGCCACGCGCCATCGAAAAAGTCGAGAAAAAAAGCGCGTTGCGTTGCGACGGCGGCGCCACACCGCACCGCGCGCGCGCTCCGCGGCGGGAGAGGAACCTCCCAAGGAAAGCGAGCGACGCGCGCGCCGTCCGTCCGTCCGCGATGAGCAACGCGCAGAGGGCGTTCGTGAAGAAGACCAAGGGCGGGCGCGTCGTGAAGGTGGTGCGAGAGCACTACCTCCGCGACGACATCTACGTCGGATGCGAGCTCGCGTCCCCCGAGCTCCGCGGCCCGGACCCCTCCGCGCACGTGCTCTCCCCCGCCGCGGACGCGTACGTCGTCATCGACACGAACGTCGCGCTGCATCAGCTCGACCTCCTGTCGCACGCCGCGGTCACGGACGTCGTCGTCCTCGGCGTCGTCCTCGAGGAGTGTCGCGCGCGATCGCGACAATCCTACGAGCGCCTCCGCGCGCTGTGCAAGGACCCGGCGAAGCGCTTCTTCGTGTTCGCGAACGAGCACCATCGCGACACGTACGTCAAGGCGCTTTCGGGGGAGTCCCCGAACGACCGGAACGACCGCGCGATCCGAGTCGCGACCAAGTTTTACGGACGCGCCATCCCGGGAAAGCGGATCGTGTTGCTGACGAACGACCGCGGGAATCGCGCGAAAGCCGCGGAGGAGGGCATAGACGCGATGAGCGCGAAGGCGTTCGCGCGGGAGAAGGCGAGAGACGGGAGCGCGCCGGAGTTACTGGACGTCGTCGCCGCGACGGGGGGACCGCTCGAGGACGACGACGAAGACGACGACGACGACCGCGGCGGTGATCCCGCGTCGAAGCGCGCGAAAAAAACGTCTTCGACTTTGACGGCGAAGAACGACTCGGGGAAGGGAGGGGCGATGTTCGAGGAGCACCTGGGCGCGTCGCAGATCGCCGCGGGGATAAAGGCGGGGACGCTCCACCAAGGCGCGCTGCGGACCTCGAGGTTCTCCCCGTGGGAAGGCGTCGTCGGGTGCGACGCGGTCGGCGCGGACATTCTTCTGTCGGGTCGGTCGGCGTTGAACCGCGCGATGGACGGCGACGTCGTCGCCGTGCGTCTGCTGCCGGAGGAGCAGTGGAAGAAACCGGGGACGCGAATCGGCGGCGGCGGCGGCGGGGGCGGTGGAGAAGACTCTAAAGAAACGGAAACTGAAACGGCCGCGGCAGACGAAGCGTCGCTGGCGCCGCGAACCGCCGACGACGCCGCCGCCGCCGCCGCCGCGCCCGCCGCGCGCGCCGACGGCGTCGTCCCCACCGGCGAGGTCGTCGGCATCGTCCGACGGTCCTGGCGCGAGCGCGGGTACGCGGCGTCGATCGACGTCGGCGACAACGGCGCGGGCGCGGCGGCGCTGCGCGCCGGCGCGAAGGACGCGACGAACGCGACGCAGACGCATGCGGTTCGTCTTCTCGCGATTCCCGTGGACCGCCGCCTGCCGAAGATTCGAATCCAAACGCGCCAGGCGTCCGCGCTCTTAGACCAACGGATCGTCGTCGTCATCGACGACTGGCCGATCGACTCGCCGCATCCGCGCGGGCACTACGTCAAGAGCCTGGGCCCGCTCGGCGACGCGGACGCGGAGACGGACGCGGTGCTCCTAGAGGCGGACGTCGACGACCGACTGTTCGCGCCGGCAGTGCACGCGTGCGTGCCTCCGCTGCCGTGGGCGTTCGACGAGCGCGCGCACTTGGGCGCGCAGCCACATCGAGAGGATTTACGGTCGCTGCGCGTGTGCTCCGTCGACCCTCCCGGCTGCCGCGACATCGACGACGCGTTGTCGTGCCGCGTCCTCGTCGACGACGACGACGGCGCCGAGACTGGGCAGCTCGAGCTCGGCGTGCACATCGCGGACGTGACGTCGTTCCTGCGACCGAACACCGCGATGGACGCGGAGGCGCGCAAGCGCGGGACGACGACGTACCTGGTCCAGCGACGCCTCGACATGCTCCCTAAGCCGTTGACCGAGGACATCTGTTCGCTGCGAGGGGGCGTGGAGCGGCTCGCGTTTTCGGTGTTTTTCCGGTTCGACGCGAAAACGTGCCTGCCGGTCCCGGGCGTCTCGCCGCGGTTCACGAAGAGCGCGATCAAATCGTCCGCCGCGCTGACGTACCAGGAAGCGCAGGAGCTGATGGACGACGAAACCGACGAGTCGCCGCTGACGCGGGATTTGAGGCGCGTTCTGTTCTATCTCACGTTGGTTCCCATACGGCCGCGTTGGCGTGGTGCACGCCGTTCCTTAATAAGGACTTTTCCACCCGGCGCATCTCTCCTCCCACCCCTCGCTTTCAATCCCCGCCTTCGATGCCTTTCAGCTCCACCCCTGACGCCTTTCAACTCCACCCCGACATCGGTGCTTTGTATGGAACGACCCTCATCAGAAACATCAACCGCTGCGCGCGCGCGCTCCGCAAACGACGCGTCGACGCCGGCGCGCTCACGCTCGCGTCCCCGGAAGTCCGGTTCGAGCTCGACGCGTCGACGCAGGACCCGCTCGACGTCGCGATGTACGTCACCAGAGAGGCGAACCAGATGGTCGAAGAGATGATGCTCCTGGCCAACGTCGCCGCCGCGGAGGCGATTTTGAAGGCGTTCCCCTCGCACGCGTTGCTTCGACGGCATCCGACGCCGGCGCCGCGGATGTTCGACCCTCTGCTCAAAGCGTGCGCGGCCGTGGGCGTCGACATCGACGCGTCGTCGTCCAAGACGCTCGCGGACTCGCTCGACGCGGCGCGGAGACCGGGGGATCCGTACTTCAACACGCTCTTGCGGATCGTCGCGACGCGGTGCATGTCTCAGGCGGTGTATTGCGTCAGCGGCGCGCACAGCGTCAACGACCGCGTGCACTACGGCCTCGCCGCGCCGCTGTACACGCACTTCACGTCGCCCATTCGTCGGTACGCGGACGTCGTCGTGCACCGGCTGCTAAACGCCGCGTTGGGGTTGGAGAGACCGGACGCGTCGTTGCAAGACGGAGACGCGTTGAAGGCGACGGCGGAGAACATCAACTCGCGGCATCGGAACTCGCAGTCGGCGGGACGCGCCTCCGTGGAGCTGCACACGCACATCTTCTTCAAGAAGAACAAGGCGGAGACGGACGCGCGCGTGATTCGCGTGCGCGCGAACGGGATCATCGTGTTCGTGCCGAAGTTTGGGATCGAAGCGCCGGTGCTCTTCGACGAGGACGACGACGACGCGGCGGCCGGAGCCGGAGCCGGGACCGGGGGTGGAGAAGAGAAAGAGAAGAGGCGATGCGCGCTGGACGAGGACGCGATGACGGTGACGGACCCGACGGGGAAGCGATGGCGCGTGTTCGACGCGCTGCGCGTGAAGATCGAGGTCGAGGAGCTCCCGGCGCGTCGCAGCCGGCTCGCGGTCAGAGTCGTTCGCGACGCGTGACGGGGAGGGGATCGCGCGCGGCGTCTCGCGACAGAAGTCTTCTCGCTGAGACGACGAAGAAGTACTAAGATTCTTTTAGCAGCTACGACAACAGACACCCTATTACCCTATCCCTATTTTTTTGGCGGCGCCGCGCCGCGCGTCTTCTCGAAGTCGCGTCGCGGCGCCATTTTCTACGCCTCCCTCTCCCCTCCGCGCCGCCGCGGGGGGGCGAGGAAGACCCTACGTCCTACGGTAAAGTTTTCCCTCGTTTTTTTTTTCCTTTTGTTTTTCGGTTCCCACCCGCCCCTCTCTTCTCCTCTTCACCCGAAGAACGGCGCGCCGCACGTGCACGTCTTCCGGTTCCCCATGCAGCACCCCTCCCACGACGGGTTCTTCTTCGCGAACGACGGCTCCGGCGGCGTCTCGAGCAGCCGTCGCTTCGCCGCTTCCACCGCCGGCTCCCCGCCTCCGCCCGGCGACTGCAAAAACGCGTAGTAGTTGAACAGCCGCACCGACTTCAGCGCATCGATCGCCGCGTTGTGCTGCTCCGCGACGTCGCTCCCGAGCAGCGTCTTCACGAGGTGGTCCTGCCCGAACACGCTCCAGCTCTTGTACTTTTCGTTCCACACGCGCCACACGCCGGCGAGGTCTACCATCCCCGCGAAGTCCGTTCCCTCTCTCAGGCCCAGCCACTCCACGTCCTTGGCGATGTTCTGCCCGACGAGCACCGCGTGCGGCGGGAGCGCGTTTCGCACCGCCGCGATCGCCTCCGCGAGCGAAACGCCGTGGGCATCGAGAAGCTCCGCGCTGAGGCCGGTCAGCGGCGTGAGGTACGAGGCGACGACGACGCCCTCCGGGGGTTTCACGTAGACGTTCAGGAGGCACCGCTCGTGCTGAGGGTCGAGGGTCCATCGTTCAAAGCGATATCGGGGTGGAGTTCAGGGGCGTCAGAAGCGGAGTTGAAAGGCCTTCGTCGAGGTGTGTCGGGAATTGAAAGCGAGGGACCCTGGGCGGAGAGAAATACACGCCGGGCTTTTAGTCCTCAAGGATCGGCGTTCACCACCCGGACGCGGTCGTGTGGGGACCGGCGCATAGAACGCACCTGGTCCACGAGCGCGATCTGCGCCACCTCTCGCGCGTTATGCTGCGTCCCGCTCGCGATGCACTCGACGTCGATGCTGAAGTGATTCGCGCCCTGGAACTGCGGCGGCGGGGGCTGCGGGGATCCGGACATCCTTCCGATCGACGGAGACGAGATCGTTGACGCGACGTCGCGACGACGCGACGCGGAAGAATTATCACGTCACCCGAGACGACGCGCGAGCGAGTCCGACGACGCCGCGAGCGGAGCAGCGCGGAGGGAGTGAGGCGTCGTGCGAGGCGAGGAGAGCGTTCTCTCTCGCGCGCGTGCGGTGCGGTCGAAGTGTGGCGGCGCGGCGCGCGGGAGCGCGAGCGTTCGTCCGCTTTCGGCGCCGCCAGTGCGAACATCCTATCAGAGGTGTCACACTCTGGCAGGAAACTTCGACGCGACTGACGACGATGACTCGGACCGGGTGTCGCGCCGGGAGGGTCATCAGAGGGAGACGCGCGCGCGCCGTCCGGCGTCGTCGCGATGGCGACAGCGACGGCGACTCGACCCGCGGCGGTCGCGTCCGCGTCGTTGGCCTGTCGTCGGCGACGCGGGGCGAGAGAAGACGCGCGGCGGCGGCGATGTCGGAGGAGCGCCTCGAGGGACTTATTATTCGGAAAAGCGTCGCGTGATGACGATGATGCGTCGGACGATGCCGACGCCGCCTCGAACGCCGTCGCGACGACGACGCCGTCCGACGCCTCGCCGTCGCCCTCCTCGCTCGAATCTTCTTTCCCCCACGACGAGCGCGGCGTCCGCTTCGCGATCGGCGACGCGTTCTACCGCCGCGAGTCCGCGCAGGCGCGGGATCTCGCCGTCCTCCTCTCGCGCACGCTCGCGTCGCCGCCGCGCGTCCTCGACGCCATGAGCGGATGCGGCGTCCGCGCGGCGCGGTATCTGACGCAAGGGAACGTCGCGTTCGTGCACGCGAACGACGCCAATCCGGCGGTGACGCGGACGATACGCGCCAACATCGAGAGCGCGGTGCGCGCGGCGGACGCGGACGCGGACGACGACGCGAGGGCCGCGGCGACGGCGACGCGGCGTCAGCACGCGGTGACGTGCGAGGACGCGCGCGACGTCTTCGCCGCGAGCGCGTCCAAGTCGGCGTTCGACGTCGTCGACGTCGACTCGTTCGGGAGCGCGGACTTCGTCGACGCCGCGCTGCGGTGCGTCCGCGCGCCGGGGCATCTCTACCTGACGTCCAGCGACGGACTGGCGCTGAGCGGTAAAAACCCGGCGCGTTGCGCAGCGGCGTACGGCGGCGCGGCGATCGCGCCGAACGTTCCGGGGGTCAACGAGCACGGCTTGCGCGTGTTGATCGGTCACGCGGTGCGCGTCGCGCGCGATCGCGGGTTGAGAGCGACCCCGGCATTCTCGCTGTTTCATCCGCACGGGCCGCTGTTCCGCGTCATGCTGCGCATCGAGAGAGAAGTCGAGGGAACGGGGGATGAGGATGAGGAAAACGGCGGCGGCGCGGACGTCACATTACTTCGCACGGAAGACGACGATAAAGTCGGGTGGATAGGGCAGTGCGCGCGGTGCGGCGACGCGCGCGTCGTGCGCGCGGACGAACGCCTCGGGGCGGATAGCGCGCCGTGCCGACGGTGCGCCGCGGCGGGCGCGGGCGCGGAGGCGCCGCCGCTCGCCATCTCCGGTCCGATGTGGCTCGGCCCTCTGCACGACCGCGCGACGGTGGACGCAATGCGTCGCGAGGCGGAGATTTTGAGCTGGGCGACGACGGGAGACGCCGATGAAGACAAAGCCGCCCGGGGAAAGACGAAGCGACAGCTGTCGCTCTCGCGTCTTTTGGACGCGTTCGCGCTCGAGTCGGACGCGCGTCTGCCGCCGTTTCATCACCGAACCGACGAGCTCACGCGTCGAGGTCGATGCGTGAGCGCGAGCGTGAGCGGGGGGCACGTTGGGGACGCGCGCGGGTTCGACCGAGGGCGAGGCCGAGGCCGAGGCGCGCCGCCGATCGACCGGTGGGTCGAAGCGCTCCGCGACCTCGGTCGCGTCGCATGCCGGACGCACGTCGACCCTCGCGGGCTCGCGACGGACGCGGGGTTAGACGACATCGCGGTCGCGGCGGCGAGGGCGTGGGAGGGGCGCGGGGGACGCGGGGGACAGAAGAAGACGCGTCGTGTTTCGCGGTAGGTGCTCGCTCGTGATAGAACGAACGAACGAATGAATGAATCATTTGTCGCATATGATATTCAATCGTGCGGGGACAGCGAGGCCGGCGCACAGTAAGTTATGATAATAGATCGCGCCTCGTCGTCGTCAGTTCTCCGTCTTCTCGTCGCTCACGGTCGCCCGCGCCGCCATCTCCTTCGACAGCGCCCACGCGTCCAACACGTCGTGCACGCGCCCCAGATCTTTCACCGCGACGTCCACCTGCTTCAGCGCGTCGTCCACGTCCTCCCCGAGCCTCAGATCCTTCACGCGCACCTCCCCTTTTTCCCACTCCGCCGGCGCGACGAAGACGATGTACCTCGCGCCGACTCTGTTGGCGTAATCGAACGTCGCGGTGACCTTCTTCTTCGGCTCCAGGAGCAAATCCACCTTCGCGCCCCCCGCGCGCATCAGCGACGCGGTCTTCATCGCCGCGCCCTGCATCGACGGGTTAAACGCCGCGACGACGAAGTCGATCTTCTTCGGGAGCGACGGCAAGATGCCCTGAGGGTCGTTCCGTACGAGCGAACGTCGGGGTGGAGTTGAAAGGCGTCAGAAGCGGAGTTGAAAGGCGTCAGAAGCGGAGTTGAAAGGCGCCAGAAGCGGAGTTGAAAGGCGTCGAGGTGTGTCGGGATTGAAAGCGAGGGATGAGCGGAGAGATGCGCCGGGAGAGGAAGCCCTTAAGGATCGGCGTTCACCACGCGAACGCCGTCGTATGGGGACCAGTGTGAGATAGAACGGGCCTTGTCCTTGAGCAGCTCGACGACGACGCAGTCGCCGAACCCGAACCCGACCGCGGGGACCTCGCTCACGGCGCCGTACAGCGACAGCAGCCGGTCGTACCTCCCGCCGCCGCATATCGCTCTCAGCTCCCCGGCGCGGTCGAACCCCTCGAACACGACGCCGGTGTAGTACGCGAGCCCTCGAACGACGGACGCGTCGAAGACGAGCCAGTCGCCGAATCCGTACGCGTCGGCGAGCTCGAAGAGTTTCTTGAGCTCGTCGACGCCGCCGGTGTCGACGCCGTCGCCGCACAGCGCGGTGAGGTCGTCCACGGTGGCGCACTGGAGGCACGACACGATCTTCTTCGCGGTCGCGGCGTCGAGCCCTTGCGTCGACACGAGCTCCTCCTCCGTCGCCGCCGCGCCGATCTTATCGAACTTGTCCATGACGACGCACACGGGCGCGAACGCGTCGTCGCTCACGCCCATCGCCTTCAGCACGCTCGCCATCACCTTCCGCGAGTTGATCTTGATCCCGATGTCCTTCGACGTGATGCCGATGGAGGTGAAGAACGCGCATATCGCGTACAGAAGCTCCACCTCCGCGTTTATGCTCGGACACCCGACGACGTCCATGTTCCACTGATAGTGCTCGCGCTTTCGCCCGCGTTGCGTCGTCTCGAACCGCCAACACTGCGGCACGCTGTACCACTTCAGCGGAAGCACGTGCGACTGCGCTCGGCCCAACACCATCCGCGCGAGCGACGGCGTCATCTCCGGCCGCAGCGTCACCTCGTGGCCTTCCTGATCCACGAACGCGTACATCTGAGACGTGATCTCCTCCCCCGCTTTGCGCTTGTAGAGCTCCTGGCGCTCGAGCACGGGCGCGTCGTACTCCTCGAATCCGCACGCGTCGCCGATCGCGCGGAACTTGTCGAAGAGCCATCGCTGCAGGCGCATGTCTTCCGGGTAGAAATCGCGCGTTCCCGACGGCGGCTCGAGGTCCACGGGCGGGTGCGGGACCACGCCGACGGTGATCGCGGCGCCGGAGGACGCGCCGCGGATCTGCCGCGCCTCGAGCTTGGCAGCCTTCTTCGCCGCCTCCGCCTCCTTCTTCGCGCGCTTCTCCGCCTCGCGCTTGAGCTGCTTCTCCGTCTTCTCCGCCGGCGGCGGAGTGGGGGGGTCCGTGGGAGAGGTCTCGGGGGGGACGGGGTCGGACATGACGGCGACGACGACGACGGCGACGACGACGGCGGCGCGCCGGAAGATGTGCGACGGAGGACGATCGATCGCGCCGACTTGTCAAAAGTCGAGATCACTGATCGCGCGCGCGACCCGATCGACTTCCGGATGCATCAGTGAGAGGCGTTTTTTTTTCACGGTCTGTCGCGCGGACTTCTCCCCCCCTCACTCGTCGTCCTCCTCGTCGTCCTCGTCCTCGTCCTCCGCGCGTCTCGTCGCGTCTGTCGCCGTCGCCCGTCCCGCGGTTCCGAGAATCCTGCTGTAGTACTCGATGAACGCGCCCGTTTCCGCGTGCGACGCCCCGCGCGCGTCGGCGCCCGGGCGAGGTCCGAACGACGGCGTCGCCGTCGGCGGCGCGGGTTCCCTCTCGCCCTCCCTCGCGGCGGCGGAAGATGAAACGTCGACCGTCGCGCCGCCGCCGCCGCCGCCGCCGCCGACGTCTCCCCACGTCGGCATCGAGCGACGAACCGAGGACGTCGTCGCGAGGACGCTGCCGTCGCGCGAGCCCCGGAGCGACGCCCGGCCCCACTCCGCTGAGGGCCGTTCCATACGAGCGAACGTCGGGGTGGAGTTGAAAGGCGTCAGATGGAGTTGAAAGGCGTCGATGGCGGGTATTGAAAGCGTGGGATGGGCGCAGAGATGCGCCGGGCAAAGTCCTTAAGGATCGGCGTTCACCACGCCAATGCGGTCGTATGGGGACCAGTGTTAGAACGCGCCTGAGGACTGGACGCTCCCGCCGAAAATGTTCGACCGCCGAAGCGCGTTCTTACCACCCTCGTCCCCGGGCGCGGCGGCGGCGGAGCGGTAGAGGTAATCCTCCGCGCGCTCCACCGCGGCGTTCGCCTGCGCCGCCGCCGCGGTCTCCTCCAGCATGCGAACTCTGCCCTCGAGCAAGAACGCTTTCGCGCTCTGCTCCGCGAGCGCGGCGTTGGTTTGCGCGAGTCGCCGCGCGACGCCGTCGCACTCCCCCGCGGCCGCCGCCGCGGCTTCTAACGCCTCCGCTGCTTGCGTTTCCGCGAACTTCGCGACGTCCACGGCCGTGATGGCGCGTCGTTCGGCCTCCTCCGCGCGTCGTTCCGCCGCCGCCGCGCGTTTCTCCGCGTTCTGAAGCTCACGCATCAACTCGGACGTCGACGCCGCCGCCGGTTCGACGAACCCGCGCACCGGATACCCCACGACGGTCCCGGACGGCGACGACGCGAGGGGCTGGTACCCCTGCGCCGAGGCGGCGAACCACGCGTTCGCCGGCGACGGCGGCTCGAGGAGAGCGCCGCTCTTGGTCTCCGATGACTCGCCGCGAGCCCCCGCCGCGGCTTCGTCGTCCCCGCCGGCGCTCCGCGGGCGGAACGCGAAATCGTCCGAGGACGCGTCGTCCGAGGACGCGCCGTCGCCGTCGTCGCCGTCCAACGCGTCGCCGTCCGAGGACGCGTCGTCGTCCCCGGCGGGCGCGGCTTTCGTCGCCGTGCGCAGCGCCACCGTCGCCGCCATCGCGTTCCTCGTCGCCTCCGTCCGCTCCGGGGTGTTCCATCGTCCCGCGAACGCGGCGTCGTCGCCAAAGTCGCCGCTGCTGCGGACGTTCGGGCGCGGGATCGGCGGCGTCGCCGCCGACGCCGACGCCGACGCTGTCGCCTCGCGGGGGGACGGGGACGCCGCGGGTCTTGTTGACGCGGCGGTTTTCGCGCGCGGCGAAGGATCCGAAGATGGCGAATTCCGGGTTTCTTTTCCTCTGTCCGCGACCGCGCCCGCGCCGCCGCCCGCTTCCCTCGCGACGCGCGGCATCCCCTCCCTGGCCACCTCCTTCGCGGTCTCGATCTTCCTCGCCGCGCGCGCGTGGTCGTTGTGCCGCCGCTTGCACAGCTCGATCGCGTCGTGCATGAGCATCAGCTTGCGCTCCGCGAACCCGGGGGAGAGAAACTGCGAGCGAACGTCGGGGTGGAGTTGAAAGGCGTCAGAAGCGGAGTTGAAAGGCGTCGCGGGCGGGGATTGACCGCGAGGGATGGGCGGAGAGATGCGCCGGGCAAAGTCCTTAAGGATCGGCGTTCACCACGCGAACGGGGTCGTATGGGAACCAGTGTGATACTAGAACGCGCCTGCCTCGTCGTCAGCGACGGATTATACCCGAAGCTCTCTCGAAGTGCCTTCCACGCGTGCTCGACGAACCGCGCGTCCGTCTTGGCGTGCAGGTCGTGCCCTTCGTCGCTGAGAGACCCGGTGACGTGGCGGGAGAACCCGAGGAGGGCGTAGTGCAGCGCCGGGAGCAGCGCCATCGGGTTCCCGTCGCGCGCGGCGTCCTCGTCGAAGTCGATCGGGAATCGGATCCGCGCGAGCTCTCTGGCGACCCTTCGGAGGTTGCCGTCGAGGTCGCCGGTCCGCCCGGATCGCAGAGGCGCGCCCTCGAACGACGCCATCCTGGCCCTGGCGCGGCGGATACGTGGCGGGTGGGGGAGGGGGGGAGGGGGCGCGGCGCGACTGTGCGACCGCGCGACGTTCGATCAGATGGATGGATGTCGCTGAAGAAGATTTTTGAACTGTTGCTTTTTTCCTTCGATACCACGCACTCAGCACTGATGTTTTCGACGGCAGGGACTGCTGGACCTGACGACGTTAGGGTTCTGGTGCATCGTCTCGCCGCGTCTCGCGCGCGCACTCGCACGCGCGCGGATCCCGGTTCGACGCACGCACGCACGCACGCGACCCGCACATCGCGCGTCGTCGCCGCCGCGAGATCTCCGCGCGCGCTCGCACTCGCGCGGGAAGGCACCGAACCGCGCGGACGCGACAGCGCAGAGACGCGCGCCTCGTCCTTTCCCCCATTCATTCATTCATTCGTCCGCGTCGGATAAGAATCTAGAAGAGCGCGACAACGCGATGGAGATCGTCCCGCCGTCGTTCACCGGCGACCCGAACAGCGCGCGGTGCAACGAGAACTCGTTCAAGTACGCGTTCTACGCCGTCAACGCCGCGGTGTTGATCGAGCGCTTCGGGTTCGGCACCGCGAACGTCGGGTTCACGCACAGCGCGGACACGTACATCGCGCTCGCGGAGGAGCAGCGCGCGCGGCAGATCGAAGCGAGCGGAGGGACGGTGACGCACCGGCGCCACAAGAACGGGAAGTTCGGCGAGCTCCAGCATCGCATGGCCGCGCGGTGGAAGCGCGAGCACCTGAAGAATAACATGTGAGCGAGCGAGGAGGAGGTCGCGTGATCGCGGGGGGGGGGAAGTCGAGGCGCATTCGTAGATTCGTACAACACGGTCTTTTAACGACGCGGCGGCTGGAAATCAAAACGCGCGCCCCCCGTCTGCGTCTTCTCGTCTATCCGCGCGCGCCCCCGCGCTGCTCGAGCGCGTCGTGCTGAACCCGCCCCCGAACAACCTCGTCTCCAACGACGACCCGAACGTCCCGTCGTCGATCGCGGCGGACCCGGACCACCCGCGACGCCCGGTAAGCCCGCGAGCCGAACGCGCCGCCGCCGACGACGCGGACGCCGCGCGCGCCGCCTTCGCGGCGACGACGGCGTACTGACGGTCGCCGCCGTCGTCGTCGCCGCGCCACCCTCTCATCGTCGGCCCCAACGCGCGCTCTTTCTCGCGCTCCGGGAGCTCCGGCCCCGGGCACCGGCGGTAGCTCCTCGGTCGTCTCCGAACCTCGTCCTCGCGCTCCGCGAGCTCAGGGCCGTTCCATACGAGCGAACGTCGGGGTGGAGTTGAAAGGCGTCAGTTGGAGTTGAAAGGCGTCGAGGGCGGGTATTGAAAGCGAGGGACCCTGGGCGGAGAGACACGCCGGGCAAAGTCCTTAAGGATCGGCGTCCACCTCGCCAACGCGGTCGTATGGGAACCAGTGTATAGAACGCACCTCAAAGTCGTTCGTCCCCGGCGCGTGCTCCTTCGGCCCCAACGTCGCCGCCGCCCTCGTGACGATCTCTCTCTCGCGCCGGACGACGTGGAGATACACCGGCACGCGGACGATCTCTTCATCGCCCCACGGGTCGCCGTTCGCGACGCGGACGACGACGGCGCCGAGCCACTCCCCCGGGACGCGCGAGCCCGCGTTGAGCGTGATGATTTTGCTTAGGGTCGTTCCATACAAAGCAGCGATGTCGGGGTGGAGTTGAAAGGCGTCAGGTGGAGTTGAAAGGCGTCGAGGGCGGGGATTGGAAGCGAGGTATGGGCGGAGAGAAACGATAGCAAAAGTCCTTAAGGAACGGCGTTCACCACGCCAACGCGGTCGTATGGGGACCAGTGTGAAGAAGAACGCACCTCAGCCCCGCGGCGATCGGCCCCTCCGCGAACGACGCCTCGACGACGTCGCCCAGGCCGAGAACCTCCACGGCGACGTCCGCGAACCCGCACAGCGCGCGGTTGCGGACGACGACGCGGAACGCGCGCGTCTCGCGCGGGAGAAGCGTCCCGCAGTCGACGGCGACGTGGTGGAACTCGGTCCACCTCGCGTCCTCCGCGCGTTCGGCTGCGACGCGATGATACGTCGAGGATAGAGACAGCGTGTCAGTCATTCGTGCACGCGATTGGCTGGAAGTTTGATTACTTGTCAAAACATGTGGTCGAGCGAGTGCATCGATGCATCGGGCCCACGCACCGAGATGCCGCGTCGCGCGCCGCGTCAGCGCCGCGTCGTCGAAATCGCCGCGCTTCACGCGCGCGAGGACCGCCGCGGACGGACCGCCCTCCGCCGCCTTGCTCAGCTTGGCCCACTTCTGTCGCTCCGCGGCGCCGTCGCGCGAGGCGTCGCGCGGGTTGTGCAGGCCGCGGTTGGCGACGACGACGAGCTTTTCGCGCAGTCGCCGCGAGTCGCGGCCGTCGCAACGAATTTTTTTCAGGAGCGCGTCGACCGATCGCGCGTCTCGGTCCGCGGCGGTCGACGTCGACGACGCGCCACCTCCGCCGAATCCGCCGTCTTCTTCAGCGTCGCCGAACGCGAGGATCGCGCACCGGACGAGAAACGCCGCGAACTCGTCGAAGTCGAGCTCGTCCTCGCGATTCCAGCCGCCGGCTGTGCGTTTTCCGTCGGCGCCGAGCCCGCCCGCGCCCGCGCCCGCGCCCGCGCCCGCGCCCGCGCCCGCGCCCGCGCCCGCCGTCCCGCCGACCGTCGGCTTGTCGTCCGCGGTCTCGAACGCGGTCAGCACGTCCTCGCGTCGAAGCAACCCCGGGGTCAGGTTGAAATCCTCCGCGAACTTCAGCGCCTCGGCTTTGCTCATGAGGCACGGCGTCTCCGTCGCTTTTTTTTTCCGCTCGTCGTCGGTCGTCAACAGATTCAGTCGCTCGTCGCGACGCGCGTAGTGCTTGTACACGATCCGCAGCGGCGCGTCGCCGGGGCGCTTCTCCGGGAGCGGGCATCGCCCTCGGCGCCCGCGCTGGTCGCCCACCTGCGTGCGTCGGAGAGGGAAGACGGGTCGGGTCGGTTCGGTCGGGCGGCGACGACGACGACGCGTTCGAAGCGCGGCGAAAGGATCTGATGGATTGGAATGGACGACGAGAAGGAGAGCGGCGACGACGACGCGCCTGCGCGCGCGCGTCGAACTGCGTCGTGACGTGCAGCGACTTCCCCGGCAGCGCCGGTCGCTCCGTGGTGAGATACTCCCCGTGGTGCGCCCCCGCGCGACCGTCGCGTCCGCGCGGGCGCAGCGTCGCGCGCGCGTCGCCGTCGCGCCATCGATGCGCCGCGCTCGCCTCCTCCGACGCGCGCTCGAACCGCGCGAAGACGTCGCTGCACGCGGTGTCCGGATGGAGCGTCTCCACGGGACGCGTCATCGCGAGCGCGCTGACGCCCGGGTACGTCAACGGCGCGGGGCGCGTCGTCGCGGTTCGCGCGTGCGCGAGCGTCACGAGCGACGACACGACGGGGTCGAGCGCGGCGTCGCGCGCGACGCGAGTGGGCGTCCGCATCGTCGCTTCGTCCGCGCCAGCTGGCGGACGACGGGCGACCGAAACCTTCCGCGAGGATCGATCTGACCGGGCAGACGACGTTCGGGTTTGAGGACGCCGGGGTCGAGAGCGGGTGCGCGCGCGCGATACGCCCCGCGCGCGTGCGCGGCGGGCGCGCGGTCAACGAGTGAGTGCGCGAGGAGCAACGAACATTCCGTTCTGAGCGCCGCGCGCGCGTGCACGACGTTTGATACGTTGTCGGGCTGTTTGAAAGGAACGTCGCGCGTTTCAGTGGCGTTTCATCGAGAGCGTTTTAACGGTCAAATCAGAATCAGATCTCGCGTCGTTATTCGACGGAGGGTGCCGTTCACGTTTGCGAGAACGCGTCGCTCGTCGCGCGCTTCTCTCACTCGTCGCGCGCGCGCGCTCCTCTCCCGCGTCGCGCCCGTCGTCGTCGTCGCGCCCGTCGTCGTCGTCGCCGTTGTCGGTCCCGTCGCCGTCGCCGTCGCCGTCCTCGAGCGACCGCGCGTCGACCGACCGATCGATCCCTCCGCGCTTCGTTCAGTTCCCTCCGACGCGGTCTGTCTGTCGAGATCGATGTTTACATCTTCCGACGCGCTCTCGCCGCTTCGGACGGCGACGCCGTTCGCGGCGAGCGCGATCGAGGGAAAGCGACGCCGCGCGACGCTCTCGGACGCGGAGAACCTCGCCGTCGGCGCGTTCGGGGGCATTGTCGAGACGTGCGTGCAGAGTGCGTCCCCGAGCCCGACGCCGCGAGGGGTCGCAAAATCGGATAACCTTCCCGCGTTTTCATTAATCCGTCCATCGCATCGCGCGCGTGCACGTCTCGTCCTCCTCATCCTCCTCCGACCGCGTCCTCCTTCTGACCACCACGCCGTCCTCCTCTTCGTCGCCACATCCTCCTCCTCCTCCTCCTCCCTCCCCTCCCCGCGCGCAGTGCCGCTCATCACGTTCAAGATTTGCGTCCAGAGCGGGAAACCGCTCCCGTCCAACGTCGCGGGTTGGTACCGCGGCGTCGTCGCCGCGGCGGCGCCCATCGCGCCCATCACCGCGATTCAAGTCGCGGTCAACGGCGCGATCGAGCGCTCCGTCACCGGCGGCGTGCGAGACGCGTCCTCGGTCGAGCGCATCGGCGTCGCGATGGCCGCGGGCGCGACGTCGTCGATCCTCTACTCCCCGGTGGACCTCATCGTCATCCAGCAGCAGAAGGTGCGTTCTCCTTCACACTGGTTCCCATACGACCGCGTTGGCGTGGTGGACGCCGATCCTTAAGGACTTTTCCCGTCGCTTCTCTCCGCCCACGCCTCGCTTTCAATCCCCGCCCTCGACGCCTTTCAACTCCAACTGACGCCTATGAACTCCACCCCGACATCGGTTTGTATGGAACGACCCTCAAGCGCGGGCTCGACTCGGCGGCGGCGACGATCAAAGCGATCGCGTCCGAGCACGGCGCGCTCGCGCTGTGTCGCGGGCTGTCCGCGTGCGTCGTCCGCGAGGCAATCTACACCGCGGGGTACCTCGGACTCGCGCCCATCGCGACGGAGTCGCTCGTGAAGAGCGTCGACTACTTCAAGGCGCGTTTCGTCTGTTCGCTCTTTTATACGACGACGCCCTGGTTTCGATCCCGACGCGCCGCGACGTTTCGCGACTCCAGCTGACGCCTTGCCTCGCCTTTGATATCCACCCTCTCGACCGATCCTTCCCTCAGGAGAACGAGCTGACGGCGTCCATCGTCGGGAGCTGCGTCGGCGGCACCGTCGCCGCGGTGTTGACGCACCCGGTGGACACGGCGAAGGTGCGTTCTCCTTACACCGGTCCCCATACGACCGCGTTCGCGTGGTGAACGCCGATCCTTAAGGACTTTTCCCGGCGCGTCTCTCCGCGCACCCCTCGGTTTCAATCCCCGCCCTCGACGCCTTTGAACTCCGTCTGACGCCTTTGAACTCCACCCCGACTTCGCTTTGTATGGAACGACCCTCAGACGTGCGTGCAGAGCGACATGGCGGGCGGGACGTATCCCAACGCGCGCTCCGCGCTGATGTCGGTGTACAACGCGAAGGGGATCAAGGCGTTGTACGGCGGAGGCCTGGCGAGGACGGCGAGGCTGTGCGGCGCGTTCTTCATCATCAACACGATTAGGGATAGGGTGGTGACGTGGAAGACGGATCGCGAGGAGGCCGCAGCCGCGGGGGGGGCGTGACGAGCCCGGCGGAGAAGAGAAGAGAGAAGAGAAGAGAAGAGAAGGAGGGAGGGAGGAAGGAAGCGCGCGGTTGTATACGTATACAATGCATTGAATCTTTGATTACTTTTCGTCGATGGTCGTCGAGGCGCGTCCCTGAAGCGCGCTTTCGCGCTCGTCATCGGGCTCGCGCGCTCACGCCTTGTTGTTCCTCTTCCCGAAGAGACCGCCGCCGCCGCCGCCGCCACCCTCCGGAATCACGTGCTTCTGCTGCACGAAGGCGCCAAACTCCGGATGCGGCGACCCGGTCGTCTCCGCGTCCTCTCTGTCCGCCTCGATCTCCTCCTCGACGTCCTCCGCGGTGTCCAGATATCGCAGACTGCTCGCGGGGAACAGCTTCGGTATCACGTACTGCCTCAGCGGCACGAGCGCCATGATGAGGATGGGGAACGCGATCCCGTACACGCCCGCCCACGTCACGGCGTAGACGCACCTGGATAAAACGAACGGTTGGGATTGGTCGTTGTGTGATCAGATTTGATGACGTGGTAGATCGTGTGGTGGGCGACGCGAACGCGAGAATCCGAAACCGAAACCGAAACCGAAAAATTAATTTCGCGACGACGCACCCGAGCGCGAGGAACTGCATGAGCGTGAACTTCATCGTGTCCGACCGCGGAACGAGCTCGACGTACGCGGGAAGCGTCTCGCCCTTCCTCAGCGACTTGAGATCCATGAACACGAGCGTCAGCCGGTGAATGAACTGGTTCCCCGGGAACGATTCGATCGCCATGAAGATGAAGTACCCCCAAAGCACCGCGCGGGGCATGAGCTTGATTAACGGCGACGCGAACATGCACACGCCGACAAGCAGCGACTGAATCAAATTCGAGACGCGCTGCTCGAGGACGATCGTCGCCTTCTCCGGCTCTCGCTTTCGGTTCGTGCCGACGCCCATGAGCGACCGCGTGTGCATCGGCGCCTGCGGGAGGACGCCGTTCGTGGGAGGGAGGCCGAGTAACCCGAGGAGGAGCGTGTTCAAGCCTTGGAGTAAAAAGTCGTAGTGATACGCGCACGGCTTCTCGAGCCCGAAATCGTCAACCTGCGCGAGCTGCGACGAGACGTTGTGATCGAAGAAGAAGAGCACGGTGATGATGAGCGCGGGAATCAGCGCGACCGCGACTTGGGAGCTCGGGACGTCCCCGAGCTTCGACGTCGTGCTCCACGTCCCCGTGACGTCCGAGTCGTAGATTTGTTTGCACGCGATGCGCGTCGGGATCTCCCACGACACGCCGTCGGGTTCGGTGACCCAGTACGACAGCGCGGTGATGATCACGACCGCGATCGCGGCGCCGTAGTCCGCGACGAGCTCGCGCATCCATCGCTTCCCGACGTGCCAGGTCCGCGCGGTCATGAGCCACACCGCGAGCAGGACGAGCTGAGGGTCGTTCCATACAAACCGATGTCGGGGTGGAGTTGAAAGGCGTCAGTTGGAGTTGAAAGGCAACGCGGGCGGGGTTTGAAAGCGAGGGGTGGGCGGAGGGACACGCCGGGAAAAGTCCTTAAGGATCGGCGTTCACCACGCGAACGCGGTCGTATGGGAACCAGTGTGAAGGAGAACGCACCGTCAACGCGAGAAACACCGACCATAGCCCGTTCACCGTCCGGTACGCCACGGGCGCGTCGGCGGGGTAGTCGAACTCGTGCTCGAGGCCCTTCACCGCAGCCTGAAGGAACAAAAGCGCGATGAGCGTGCCGAAGGTCTCGCCGCTGAAGCGCGTGAAGGCGTGAATGTACTCCGACGCGTTGGCGAACGCCAGGACGAAGTGCATGAGCGCGGTGAAGATGAGCACCCAGCCGCAGAACGGCCGAAACTTCTCCGCGCCGAGGTCGTCAGTGGACTCCGCGTACTTGAACATGTAGTAGTACACGAGCACGATCGGCTCCGCGACGCCGACGATGAGCAGCGGCTGGCCGCCGAAGACGGACTGAATCACGCCCGCGATGGCGGTCGCGCAGAGGATGTGCGGGATGGAGAAGAGCTCTTCCGTCTCGTCGCGGAACTGCTCGCCGAACGTCAGCGCGGGGAGGACGGACGCGAAGAAGATGTACGTCGCCGGGGCGAATATCGCCGGGAACTTCAGGCCGCGCTTCCAATCGTCGACGTACAGGGGCTTGCGATTGCGCGCGTCCTTGAGCACGCCCTGGCCCCATCCTTTGCCGAAGACGATCGTCGCCTCGCTCGCGGGCGCGGCGGCGGCGGCGGCGTCCGCGGTCGCCGCGGACGATACGTCCACGGCGACGGCCGCGTCCTTGGGCGCCATCTCGTCTGCGCGCGCGAGGTGCGAACGACGAACGCGCGGGGGGGAGTGCGGGGGCGGCGGTTTGATCTACAACGAACTCGAACTCGTCTGTCCATTCATTCCCGCCAAGTTGTTTTTCACCCACTCCGCAGTTTCAACACTTGATCGCGTCGCCTTTCAACTGACCGATGAACAAGATGTTTATTGGCTCGTCAGGCGATGAAGGGACGTTTCGATTTTTGGCGCGACGGGCGACGGATGGACGCCTCGCGGCGGCGCGCGAGGCTCATTCTTCGTTTGTCGTAGTGTCCGCGTTCGATTGCAACATCCCAGCTACGCGTCGGGACGCGAACGCTAAACGCCGACGGACGCGCGCGTACTGTATCACAGCGCGCGCCCGCCGACCCCCCACCCTCTCTTCGTCTCTCGCCTCTCTTCGTCTCTCCCCGAAGTCAAGTCTCTCGCGCCTTCGCTCATCCGTTCAACCTCGAGGCGCGGCGGTCGGTCTCTCTATCCACGCCGCGCGTCGCTCACTCGGCAGACTTCGCCGCCGCCTTCGCCTGACGAAGCGACTTGTGCACGACGGAGAGCTTCGAGAGCGCGATGCCGGTGAGGTCCGGTCGCCCCGCGCAGAGCTCCGCCACCTTCTTCGCCTGACGCTGGAAGATGCCCGCGACTTTCTGCGACTTCCCGTTCACGGTGACGATCACCGCGGTCGGGTTCTTGTCCCCGACCGCGGCGGCGATGGCGACGGTGTCGTCGCTGACGATGCCTGCGATGGACGAAAGGGATGGGCGCGGGGTGATGGACCGTGAGCGGACGGACGGGCGGACGGATGGGAGAGGCGAAAAAACATCCGTCGTCGAGATTCGATTCGATCCACCCCGAAACATCCGCGTCGACGGACGCGACGGCGACGCGCGACGCCGCGCGGACGCGACGAAGAGCGGGAGGTTTGACACTCCCGCCGCCGCCGCGCGCGCCGCCGCGCGTCGCGACGCGTCGCGTCGCGTCGCGTCGCGTCGCGTCGCGGGACGGACGCCCCACCCCGCTCGAGGGGCGAGGTCCGCGCGACGCTAGGGTTTCGCGAGAAAAAAACACCGCGACGATGCCGCGCGACGCGTGCGCGCGACGACGCCGCGAGCGACCCCCGTCGCCGCCGTCGCGACGCGTCGCGACCTCGAGGACGACGCGAACGAAGCGGTGGCATCACGTCGTTCGTCTCACGCACCGGAGTTCTTGAAGCTGTGCTTCGACGCGAGGTTGTTGGCCTCGGCGCTGAACGACTCGAAGCTCTTTTGCCTGGTCGCGCTCCGGCTCCGGCGCTTGAAGACGTTAGGGCCGTCGTTGACGAGGAGCCACTTGAGGTCCGCGCTGCACGCGACGTGGGACTTCACCATCGTGGTGGAGCGGTGGCGCGGTCGGGAGGAGCTGTGGGCGAGGCGGCGGTGCGCGTCGCGAAGAGGGCGCGATGACGACGCGAGATTTGGTCGGGTGCGCTCGAGAAAACAGATGCGTGGGAACATGAAATGACGCGTACGCGTACTCGTACTCTATGGGCTTTTAGTACGTATGTGAATCGAATTTTACGGCAACTGTCTAACAACCTGTCCGATGGTAACAAATTTTTGCCACCACGCTCGCTCACGCGCTCGACGCGCCGGGGGAGTCGCTCGTCGCTCGCGCGTACCTCGTCCACGCGCGGTCGGTCGCGTCGTCGCGCTCACGCGCCGACCGCCTTCGCCGCCTTCGCGTCCTCCCCTCCCCCGCCCTCCTCCTTCGCGCTTCCGTCCCCTCCAGCCTCGCACGTCTTCGCGTCGAACGACCGGTTCGGATACGTCGGCTTAATCGGCACCTTCCCCTTCGCCGGCGCCTCCGCGAGCTTCTTGTTCAGCACTTCGATCGCGGCGTCGAGCTGCGCGTCGCCGCCTCGCGACGTCGCGACCGGCGCGTTAGCGACGACGACGTCGGGCACGACGCCTCGCTGCTCGATCGCCCACGCGCCGTCAGCGTCGTAGGGGCCGAACGACGGAATCGTAAACGCTGAGGGTCGTGCCATACAAGCGAATGTCGGGGTGGAGTTCAAAGGCGTCAGACGGAGTTCAAAGGCGTCGAAGGCGGGGATTGAAAGCGAGGGATGGGCGGAGAGACACGCCAGGCAAAGTCCTTAAGGATCGGCGTTCACCACGCCAACGCGGTCGTATGGGGACCAGTGTGAATCAGAACGCACCTGATCCGTCGACGAGCGCGAGCTCCGCGTCGCCGCTGTATCCAACCGCGCCGCCCCACGTCCGCTGCCCGATCACGGTCCCGACGCCGAGCCGCCGCGCGGCGAGCGCGAAGATCTCGGCGTCGGAAGACGTGCGCTCGTCGACGAGCACGACGACCTCGCCGCTGAACGCGTACTGCATCGTGACGTCCGGCGGGCCTGAGGGTCGAGGGTCCGTACGAGCGATGATATCGGGGTGGAGTTGAAAGGCGTCAGAAGCGGAGTTGAAAGGCGTCGCGGTCGGGGATTGAAAGCGAGGGACCCTGGGCGGAGAGATGCGCCGGGAAGTAAAGTCCTTAAGGATCGGCGTTCACCACGCGAACGGGGTCGTATGGGGACCAGTGTGAGATAGAACGCACCCGAACGCTCGGCGTTGAAGAGCCACGCGGCGCGCAAGAGTCTCTCGAGGATCCACGTGTCGATGTTTCCCCCCGCGTTGCGTCGGACGTCGATGATCATCCCTCGCGCGCGCACCGCGGGGTAAAACTGCGAGGCGAAGTCGTCGAAAGACGCGCTGCCGCCCTCGCCGTCTTGTTCCATGTCGCCTAGGTAGACGTACGCGACGTCGTCGTCGGCGCGCGATTTGACGTAGGCTCTGCGCGCCGGGGTGGAGTTGAAAGGCGTCAGTTGGAGTTGAAAGGCATCGCGGGCGGGGATTGAAACCGAGGGGTGGACGGAGGGAAACGCCGGGAAGTAAAGTCCTTAAGGATCGGCGTTCACCACGCGAACGGGATCGTATGGGGACCAGTGTAACCAGAACGCACCTCCGCGCGCGAACCGCGTCGGCGGCGCGTAGGTCGCTGCAGTTCTGGTGGTCGAAGGGCGTCGCGACGACGGCGCCGACGGCGCCGCCGCGGAGTTTAGAGTGGTTCTTTTTGCGGCGGCGGGGGGAGTCCCCGCCCAGAGCCGCGGCGGCGTCCGCGAACATCTCGCGCGTCCGCCGCGCGCGCGAGCGCTGCGACGCCGTCGGCAACCCGCTCGGATGCCCCGGATCCCCGCCGCCGCCTCCGCCGCCTCCTCCTCCTCCCGGCATGATCACGATCGGCATCCCCCCCGCGCCGCCGCCGCCGCCTCCCGCGCCGCCGCCGCCGCCGAACATGTTCATCAGCCCGCCGTCCATGAGCCCGCCGCCGCCGCCCGCCATCGCGGCGTAGATGTCGTCGTCGTCGTCGTCGTCGTCGTCGCGCGCCGCCGCGTCGATCTCCAACAACACCTGCGCGCCCGCCTTCCCGATCATCGCTCGGTCGAGCGCGACTGCGATCGGGACGCGCGGGAGGCTCGCGTTCAGCCGCGCGCCGTCCACCGCGGTGATGACGTCGCCCGGTCGGAGGTCCACGCCGACGGCGACGAGCGGCGACTCGAGCGCGTTCAACACGCCGGAGCCGTCGAACGCACGCGAGATCTCCATCCCGCCGCGTTCGACGTTGGGGACGAGCACGCCGCCGAGGCACGCGGACGGGCGTCCCGCGTTCGCGCCGGCCCCCGCGGATCCGTATCCCCGCGATCCGCCGGGGCGGCGGTCGAGAAATTCGTCGTCGTCGCGGATGGAGATGAAGACGTGGAGCACGGAGAGCTCCCCGAACGCTTGCGTCAAGACGTCGCGCAAGTCGCTCTTAGGGTCGTTCCATACGAGCGAACGTCGGGGTGGAGTTGAAAGGCGTCAGACGGAGTTCAAAGGCGTCACGGTCGGGGATTGAAAGCGAGGTGTGGGCGTAGAGATGCGCCGGGCAAAGTCCTTAAGGATCGGCGTTCACCACGCGAACGCGGTCGTATGGGGACCAGTGTATAGAACGCACCTTGTGCGTCATCTTGTACACCAACGGTCGATACGTCTCCGTCGTCGCCGCCCAGTCCACGCCGTGCATGTTCGGGTCGTAAAACGCGTCTCGCATGTTCCGCATCGCCTCGTCGTACATCTGCATCCACTCCTTTCGAGGGTTCACGGACACCGTGAACGCGGGCGGGGGGTTCCAGAGTTGCGCCGAATGCAAAAGCTGCTCCTGCGGCACGCCTCGCCCCGCCATCGCGATCGCGCGCGCGGAAAACAACGCGAGCCCTTTGTCCGTCGCGAGGACGACCACCTCGCCGTCGCCGGACACGATCGTCGCGATCGGGTCCGGGAAGAACGGCGCGAACGTGCCCGCGACGATGTCGACGACGACCAAATACCAGCCGACGTCATCCTTAGGGTCGTTCCATACGAGCGATTGTCGGGGTGGAGTTGAAAGGCGTCAGGTGGAGTTGAAAGGCGCCGAGGGCGGGGCTTGAAACCGAGGGATGGGCGGAGAGATGCGCCGGGAAAAGTCCTTAAGGAACGGCGTTCACCACACCGACGCGGTCGTATGGGGACCAGTGTATAGAACGCGCCTTGGTCTCCGCGATGAACGTCCGCCCGTCGCCCAAAACTTTCAGTCCGGCGTACGCGCGCTTCGGGACGAACGGCGCCGCGACCGCGCGCTTCTCGATCCCGGGGAAGTGAATCTTCGTCTTGAACCGCGCGCCGATGGAGGGGTCGAACGCGACGCCGCCGTGAGGGTTCAGCTCGTCGCCGCCGTGAAACGGGCACGCGAACCCGGCGCGCAACGGCAGACACATCAGTCGTTGCTCGTTCTGAACGTTCGGCTCCGAGCCGCGCGCGCCGTACGGCGACGCGGACCCGGACTCGATCGCGGCGTCGCTGAGGTAGTAGAGGAACAGGCCGTCCGGCGTGAACGTCGGCTCTGCGGCGTTGTACGAGTTTTCAGTCACCCGCGTGACGTTATTCTCCGCGACGTTCCAAACGTAGACGGAGGAAAATTCCGTGTCGTCCGACGCGACGAACGCGAGCCACGCGCTGTCCGGGGACCACGCGTACTCGCCCGCGGCGCGCGGGCGGAGACCGCTCATCACGTTCCGCGGGCGCGCGATACCGGTGCCGTCGCCGGGAGGCGGCGGCGGCGCGGGTTGGTCCGAGTCGGCGCCTAACCCCGCGCGGGAAGAGGTGAAGAGCGCGTCGAACCCGCCGGACGGCGGGGCGCGGCCGAGCCTGCCGTGGTGCATGTCCCTCGCGCGCGGGCGCGGGCGCGTCGCGCTCGCGCTCGCGCCGCCGCCGCCGGAGGACAGATGCCGCGTCAGCTCGTGATCGCGTCGAAACCCTAGAGATGAAACCGCCCTAGAGGAGGAGGAGGAGGAGGAGGAGGGGAAACCGCCCGCGCGGCGGCGGCGGCCGCGACGCGCCCCCCCGGGCCCCCGTCCCGCCGTAAACGGCGACGCCGCGCCGCCGCCGCCGCCCGCGCCGGGCGCGGCGATCACGATGGGCATCATCCCGGGGCCCAGCATCCCGCCGCCCGCCGCCGTCGCGTTCGCCGCGCCGTCGCCGTCCTCGTACGCGGAATCGTCGTCGACCGGCGCGTCGCGCGTTTTAAAATCGTACGAGTTCGCCGCCGTCGCGTTCAAATTCAGCGCCGTGATCGCCCCGCTCGTGTCGTCGTACACGAGCGTCGACAAGTCCGGGGAGACGTCGCTGTGCGACATCACGCCTCTGATCGTCCCCCCCACCGTGATCTGCGTCTCGCTCCACGGCCCGCCGAGCGTCGACGCCGACGAGCCCCCTCCGCCGCCGCCGCCGCCGCCGCCGCGTTCGAGCAAGACGTACTCGTACTCGCCCGACGCGTCCGACATCGCGATGATGCGCACGTTATCCCGCGCGTCCGTGTTCCGCACGAACTGCGCGTGCTTGTATCGCACCGCGCCGTCGTTGGACGTGACCTTTTCGACGCGCGTCCCGAGCTCCGGGTGTAGCGGCGCGTAGAAAATCTGCCCGCGGATCACGAGCGCGGCGTGTTCCCCCGTGAACGAAAGCGCCGCCTCTTGCAAGTCGAGCATCGGATCCGGGAGGTTTCTCACGGACGCGTGCTTGAACTCGGACACGAGCGAGATTTGCACGGGCGTCCCGAGCAGCGCTTTCTGGCCTCTCGCGATCTTCATGACCGGCCCGCCGCCGACGGCGTCGCCGCCGGCGACGACGGAGAATTTTTTTAACCCCGCGCCTACGCGATACACGACGTCGTCGCCGTCGATGTCAAACTCCATCACGTCCATGCCGCACTCGCGCGTCAGCTGCGTCGGGTACGCCCCGTCCAAACCCATGACCCACACGTTCGCGACGCCGTTGTGGTCGCTGAGGAAGAACACGCGGTCGGGGAACGCCTTCGAGGTCTTCGGCGACCACGACCCGCGCTTGCTGAGGGTCGAGGGTCCACACGAAGCGAAGTCGGGGTGGAGTTGAAAGGCGTCAGAAGCGGAGTTGAAAGGCGTCGAGGTGTGTCGGGATTGAAAGCGAGGGACCCTGGGCGGAGAGAGACGCCGGGAAGTAAAGTCCTTAAGAAACGGCGTCCACCACGCCGACAGGGTCGTATGGGAACCAGTGTATAGAACGCGCCTGAACGTCTCCGGCCACAGGCACTTCGCCTCTTCGTCGCCGTCGCACCACCGCCACAAGCGCGACTGCTCGCCGCCTTCGTAGCGCTTCGTCGCGCTCGATTGCTTCATCTCGTAGAAGACGTAACACCCCATCTGGTCCTCCGTCCCGCCGTGCGCGCGCGCGAACGGCAGCGGCCTGACGTCGCCGAGCGCGCCGCCGCCGCCGCCGCCGCGAACGGCGATCGTCGCGAGCGTCGGCTCCCCGTTCGGCGACGCCGCGTCGGCGACGACGACGATCAGCCCGTTCCCGTCGCGCGTCCACCCCTCGAGCTTGACCGCGCCGGTGCCGTACGTCACCCGAGTCAGCGTCCCGCCCGCGGTGGGCACGGTGAACACCTCGTGGCCGTCGCTCGACGCCGCGACGTACGCGATGGTCCCGCCGTCGTCGGAGAGCTTCGGGTCGTTCCGTACGAGCGAACGTCGGGGTGGAGTTGAAAGGCGTCAGTTGAAGTTGAAAGGCGTCGAGGTGTGTCGGGATTGAAAGCGAGGGATGGGCGGAGAGAGACGCCGGGCAAAGTCCTTAAGGATCGGCGTTCACCACGCCAACGCGGCCGTATGGGGACCAGTGTAAACATGGACGCGCCTTTGGCGAGTTGTCGTGCGCGTCCGACGACGACACGCGGACGGCGTTCCCGCCCTTCGCGCTGACGACCCAGACGTTGCGCTCGGAGATAAACGTCAGGAGCGCGCCGCGCATGGACGGGCGCTGAAGGTAGCCCATCTTCAGGTCCGGCGCGGTACGGCCCGGGCGCTGCGGTCGGTCCGCGTCGAGGGGATCCTCCGCGGTGGGGAGCGCGTCGAGATCGCGGACGACGCTCGAGACGTTGGGCTCCGGCGCGCGGAGCAACGTTCGGACGTCCTCGAACGCCGCGCCGCGGTCGCCGCCGCCGGCGCCGGCGCCGTGCGCCATGTTCTGGAGCATGTCCACGACGTTGGCCTTGAACGCGTCGTCCTTAGCCTTCTTCAACGCGTCGTCCGAGTCTGATGATGAATCGTCGTCGTCGTCGTCGTCGTCCTTTTTCTTTCGATGATGAATGTTGTCGCCGGGCGTCAATTTCGAACCACGACGGATCGTCGCCGGCGTCGGCGTCGCGCGCGTCGTCGTCGTCGCGAGCGGCGCGACGCCGCCGCCGAGCTTCGCGACCCCCAACGACGAGATCGCCGGCGACGCGACGGTCCCGACGATCGCGCCGGCGACGAAAAGGATCGTCGCGCCGAGGAGCGCGGGATGCGTCGCCGCTCGGCGCGGATCGAACGACGACGCCGCGGACGACCACCACCATCGCGACGACGACGACGACGACGACGACGCGCGGCGGCGGCGGCGAGCGCGCGCTCCGAGAGAGGCGTCTCCACCCGCGCCGCCGTCGCCGACCGCGGTGGACGCCGCGGCCGCCGCCGATCCGCCGCCGAAGTAGGACTCGAGCGCGTCCGCGCCCGTGCCGTACGCGCCGCCCGCGTCGATGGTCACCGAGGCGTCGGACCCGAGCAACGGCGCGGGGCGCGCGTCGTCGCCGCCGCCGCCGCCGCCGCCGCCGCCGCCCATCGCGCGACTCGACGACGGCGTCGGCGGCGAAGGCGTGGGCGAGAGCGCGCGATCGACCGGCGCGGCGCGGCGGGATGAACGACGCGGACGCCGGGCGAGGGACGACGCGCGCGCGAGGTGACTTTGTAACACCAACCCTTCGGTCGCGGCTTTCGGACGCGAGCGCGACAAGGTCTCAGCTTCAGAACGTCGTCTGTGTTGATCATTTCAAAGTCGAAATCGCGTAGCGTCGTCGCTCGCGCGCTGTGCGCCCCCACCCCCACCCCCCGCTCACTCCACCGCCATGGGGTCGTCCGCGACGACCCCTCCGTCGCCCCCCTCCGTCGCCGCGACCGCCGGAGACGCGTCCACCGCCGCCGGAGACGCGTCCGCCGCCGCCGCCGCGTCCGCCGGAGCCGCGTCCGCGACCGCCGCCGCCGCCGTCGCGGCGGCGGCCGGAGACGTCTTGAAAAACGCGCCGAGCGGCTTCATCTTCACCGGCGTCGACCTCGGCGTGCTCTTCGCGCTCTTGACCGGAGAAGAAATCTCTTTCGTCGTGGCAGCGCCGACGTCGACCGCCGCCGCGTCCGCCGCGTCCACCGCCGCGGCCGGTTTCGGTTTCGCGCTCGCCGCCGCCGCCTTCGGTTTCGGCGCCGGCGGCGGCGGGCGGTCGTCGACGATCGCGCACGCCGCGAGCGTCTCCGCCGTGAACTCCCACCGCGCGCGTCGGTACGTCGCGATCTCGCCAATCTTCGCCTTGACCGCGCGCATCGTGAGCTCGGGACCGCCGTCGCGCGACCGCTCCTCCACGAACGCGCGCGTCGCCTTGTTGATCTGGAGCTTCGGGCGCGCCATGAGAAACTTCACGAGCGTCGCGGTCGACGCCTCCGGGAACGTCGAGGGGCCCTTCTTCGCCGCCGCCGCTCCCGCTCCCGCCGCGTCGCCGCCACCGTCGTCCACGCCGGCGGTCACATCCACGCCGCCCATGCCCGCGCCGGCGTCGTCGTCGTCGCCGCCGGCGCCGGGGACGTGCGGCAGCGGTATCGCGGCGTCGACGGCGACGGGCGCCGCGCCGTCGAACGCTCTGTACGACGTCGCGCCCAGCGCGCGAAGCAGCCGCGCGTTCGCGTCCGCGCACGCGTTCGCGTCGGTCGCGCACGCGTCGACGGTCGCGGTCGACGGCTCACCGACGCCGTCGCCCGGGCCCCGCTCCGGCGTGCTCGGCGCGGCGGCGTTGACGTTGAACGCGGTGAGCACGAGCGGGCGGTTCTGGTGCCTCGCGCGTTTCATCCACTGCGCGAGCTGCGCGACGGCGCGTTCTCTCCTCGCCCTCGCGGCGGCGTCGTCGTCGCCGTCGCCGTCGCGCGCGGGATGATGACGATCGTGATCCATCTCGTCGCCGCCGCCGCCGTCGAGCAACGCAGCGTCGCCGCCGTCGACGACCTCGTCCCCGGACAGGTACCCGTCCGGGACGACGAACCCCGTCTCCTCTTCGTCGCCGTCGTCGTCGTCGTCGCCGTCGTCGTCGTCTCCCTTTCCTCCGTCGCTCAGGGATTCGCCCTCCTCCTCTTCCTCGCCCCACTCGTCCCCGGAGTCGTTCCACTCGCCGTCGGAGTTCTCGTACTCGACGCGCGGATCGCGCTTGAACGGCGCGCGTCCGGTGACGGTCGCGCTGACGAGCCCGGGGCGTTCCGGGAACGGCCCGCTGCCCCAAAACGCGGGTCGGCCGCCTTGAACGGGCCGGAACGTCTCGAACGGATTCCCCTCGTGCACGTCCGCGCCGCCGAGCTGGAACCCGTAGCGGTACGTCCCCTCGTTCACGACGACGTCGCCGTCGACGACGACGTGCGAGGAGCACTGCACGGCGAAGAGGCGTCGTCGTTTCGGCCGCGGCGACGGCAGGCGCGCGTCCTCGCGCGACGCGTCGAGCGCGTCCGCGAACGCCTTGTCCTCCGCGGTGAGCGGCTTCCGCTCGCGCTTGCGCTTGCGCTCGCCCCACCGCGAGGAGATCGATGAGAAGAGTGTCGGACACAATGTGGAGTCGTCAGACGGCGTCGAACCTCGTTTCTTCTGTTTCCACCGCGTCCGCGTCGCCTCCCACGCGGCGGCGGCGTCGAACCCCTGCGCCGTCACCGCGCGCGTCACCGCGTCCATCGCGTCATCGGAGAGCGACCCGCCGCCCCCGGGCACGACCGGCGCGGTCGTCACCGCGGGCGGCGCAACGATCGGCTTCTTCGGCGCGGCGGCGAAGAAGCCCTTGAACGCGTTGGCTTGCTTCGCCTTTTTCGCCGTCGCCGCCGCCTCTCTCGCCTTGCGCTCCTCCTCGGCCGCGGCGATCGCGCGCTCTTTCTCAGCCCTCTCCGCTTCTCTCGCCGCGTCCCTCGCGGTCTTCTCCGCTTCTCTCGCCGCGTCTCTGGCCGCCTTCTCCGCCGCCTTCTCCGCCTCCTTCGCGGTCTTCTCCGCGTCCCGCGCGGCTTTTTCCGCCTCGCGTTCGCGTTCCTGCGCGATTCGACGTGATGAGCGTTTGGAAGCAAACACATGATTGGTCAGTTTTTGATGACGTGGAATGATTGATTCGGGTGGATTTGGTGACGTGGAAGAACGTGCGGTCGAGAGAGCGAGTCGAGTCGAGTCGAGTCGAGTCGAGTCGAGTCGTCGCACCTTCTCCCGCCGCTCCGCGTCCCTCGCCGCCGTCGCCGCGAGACGCTCCGCCTCTCGCGCCGCCCTCGCCTCCTCCTTCGCGACGCGCATGGCTTCTCTCTGCGCCTCCTTGGCTCGCGTCTCCGCCTCCTTCTCCTCGCGTTTCGCGCGCTCCGCCGCCTCTTTCGCGACGCGCATCGCTTCCCTCTCCGCGTCTTTGAGTCTCTGCGCCTTCTCCTTCTCGAGCTGCGCCTCCGCGCGCGCCTTCGCGTTGATCGCGCCCTTTAAGATGCGCCCCATCTCCGTCGTCGCCTTCGGTCGCGCGGCGTCCGCGCGGAAGAACGCGACTTTCGCCGGGTTGGACGTGTAGAGAGCGAGCGTTTCCTCCGCGTTCGCGTGCTTCTCGGCGGCTTTGGCGAAGAGTTCCTCGGAGGTTTTCGCGCCGCCGCCGCCGCCGCCGCCGCCCTCGGCGGCGGCTTTGCCCTCGCGCTTCGCCCTCCGCGCGGCGACGTGCGCGTCGATCTTCTCCAGCGCGTCCGTCTTGTTCAGATCGCCGATCGACAGCTTCAGCGCCGCGATCGCGACCAGGTCGTCGTCGCTCGCGGCGTCGGCGTCGGCGAGTTTTTTCGAAACGTTCGCGATCGCGTCGAGTCGCTTGTTCGCCCTCGCGCGCCACGCCTTGTCGTCGTCCGCGTCCTCCTTCGACGCGCGATCGGTCGGGCGCGCGTCCGCGGCGGCGACGAGCGACGCGCGCTCCTCCTCCAGCGCGATCGCCAGGCGCGCGCGCGTCGCCGCGTCGGTCGGGCACTCGAACGTCGTCGTCGTCGTCGTCGTCCGACGCGGAGGACGCTTCGGCGCGGCGGACGCGTCGCCGATCGTCGCCGGCGTCGTCGTCGTCGCGTTCGAGTCGTCGTCGCCGTCGCCGTCGTCGTCGTCGTCGTCGCCCGCGGGCATCAGCCGTCGCGGGTGCGCGGGGGTCACGAGCGCGTCGCCGACGGACGCCTGCGGCGACGGCGCGCCCGCGACGCGCGACGCCACCGCGGCGGCGTCGACGACGACGCGCGTCGTCGAGTCGTTCGCCGCGAGATCCGCCGCGGCGTCGCGATGGTGCGTCACGGTCCCGCCGTCGCTGCGATGCGGCACGCTCGCGGGCGTCGGCGCCGCGGAGTTGTCCATCATCCGCAGCGGCTCGCGCTGGTCGCGGGGGGTCTCGCTCTCGAAGTTGAGCTTCACCCCTCCCGGCGCAGCAGTGGCGGTCGCCTTGACGTCGTCGTGACGACGTAACGTCGCGGCGTCCGAGGCTGGCTGCGGATCGTGGCACGCGACAGATGACGCCTTCTTGGCGAAGAAACCCGCGATCGGGGAGACGCCCTTTGGCGGCGTCGCCTTCTTCGCGCTTGCGGGAGGCATGTGCCGCGACGTTCGGCGCGTGCCCGCCCGTTCCTTCCTCGCGCGCGCTCCTGCCGGCCGCGCGCCGTCTGTTCTGCCGCGCGCGGCGACGGGACGGGATTTCAAAGTTTGAATTGCGCGCACCGCCGCAGCCAGCGCGTGGCGCGCCTGTCTCTTCTGCAGAGCTCTCTCCCGGCGGCATCGATCGAATTCACTCATTCCTCGCCGCGCGGTCCCATGAGCTCCTCGGACGCGCGCTCCGGCGCGAGGCGCGCGGAGCGACGCGAGCGCCGCGAGCGCGAGCGCCGACGCAGGGGCGCGGAGAAGTCCGACGACGCCTTCGGAGCGGACGACGTCGCGGTGCGCGCGTCACGCACGCATTCGTTCGTTCAATCGCGCGCTCGCGCTTCGTGTCGCTTCTCCGGTGCCGAGAATCACATAGAATCGTCCGTCCGTCCGTCCGTCCGTCGCCGCGCCCGCCGCTCCCGCCCCCGTCCCTCCGTCGTCCATCGCTGACGCCCCCGCGCCGACCTCCTCCCAACTCGCATCGCGTCGCTCGCAGGCTGCCGAGGCGTTCGCGGCCGCGAGGAGAGACGACGTCCCGGAGCTGGAAGTCATCCTCAACCGCGGCGTCATGCCGCGCGTCACCGACGTCGAGGGCAACACGCTCCTCCACGCGGCGTGCTCCAGAGGCGCGCTGAGAGCGGCGAAGCTCGTCGTGCGATGGGCGGTGTACTCCGCGCATCCGCCCGACCGCGCGTTTCTGTCGCTTCGCTCCGCGAACGGTCGCACCGCGCTCGACGTGTGCCGCGACGGCGGACACGAGAGGATGGAGGCGCGTTCTGGTTACACTGGTCCCCATACGACCGCGTTCGCGTGGTGAACGCCGATCCTTAAGGACTTTTCCCGGCGCATCTCTCCGCCCATCCCTCGCTTTCAAGCCCCGCCCTCGGCGCCTTTCAACTCCATCTGACGCCTTTCAACTCCACCCCGACGTTCCCATAGGAGTGGCTCATCGCGCTCGGCGCGACGGGGAGTCGCGGCGGCGACGGCGCGGGCGCGCTGGACCGCGACGGAGGACGCGGGGGTCGCGCGCGGCCGCAGCATCCGTTTTCGCATCATCAGTTACCGCCCGCGGGGCCGTACGAGTACTCGTCGCCGTACGGCGGCGGGATGGGGATGGGGACGGGGATGGGGATGGGGACGGGGACGGGGATGGGGATGGGGATGGGGGCCGGCGGGTATCATCGCTCCCCGTCGACGCCGTACGGCGGGCAGGGCGTGTATCCGTACGCCGCGCCGGGGAGCGGCTGGGATCTCAATCCGCCCCGAGGTCCGGGGGGACCTGGCGGGATGTCGACGCCGTTCGACCTCGAGGACGCGATCGCGTACGCCCGCGGCGGCGGCGGCGGCGGGGATCGAACCGGCGGCGGCGCCGGCGATTACCTCATGGGCGCGCTCGAGACCGCGCTCGGCGCGGGCGCGGAGGCGGCCAGAGGCGGCGTCCAGAGTGAAGAGCGGCGGCGCGCGCAAGCCGTCGTGCGGCAAGTCGCGGAGGCGCTGGAAGACCGCGAGGAGATGGCGGACGAGCTCGACGAGGCGATCGCGCGCGCGGACGCCGCGGAGGCGCGCGCGGCCGCCGCGGAGGCGGCGGCGGCGGCGGCGACGAAGGAGGCGAGGGACAGCGTGAAGGAGCAGAGGGCGGAGGAGCAGGAGGCGGTGCTCAGCGCGTTGGGGCTCGCGGAGGAACGCGCGGTGCAGATGGTGCGCGACGAGCTCGCCACCGCGACCACGCGATCTTTCTTCTGCGTCGTCGACCTTTCCTTTCTTCTCGAAACTACTCGTCGTCTACTAACCGATCGCGTCCCTCCCTCCGATCCGCGTCGTAATCAATCGCCCGACTAATCGATCGCCAGGCTGCGGAGTGCGAGACGCTTCGCGAGGAAAAGGACGCCATCGCGAGCGCGCTCGAGTACGTCAACGAAGAGATGGAGACGATGCGCGCGAGGGAGGAGGCGACGATGCAGGAGTTTTACCGTAAAGGGTTCGCCGCGGGTCAGGCGCAGTACGAGGAGCTCGTGAAGACGCACGCGAGTCGAGGGCAGCTCGAGGCGCTCGGGTTGACGCCCACTGCGCCGGCGTCGGCGTCGGCGTCGGGAGGCGGCGCGACGACGCCGTCGTCGCCGATGGCGTCGCTGATGCCCACGCCGGAGCCGTTCGGGACGCCGGTGCTCACGGGTAACGGTTCCATGGCGGGGGTTACGATGACGACGGGGTCGCCGACGCTCGCGAGGATAAATACCCATACGAGAGCGGCGGCGGCGGAGGCGAAGGAAGACGAAACGTCGACCGTCGCGACCGTCCCACCGACCGGGAGTAGCCCCGAGGAGCGCGAGAATGGCGGCGGCGGCGGCGGCGGCGGCGAAGTCCTCCTCGAGGAATCGCGCGAGGTCGGTCGCGCGAGCGGCGGTCGCGGAGGCTATCCGGTCTCTTCGCCGAAGAAAAAACTGGCGGAGGACGCGGAAGCCGCGATCGAGACGGCGACGCTGTTCGAGACCGTGTCCTTGGAAGATGAAACGTCGACCGGCGCGGGCGGCGGCGGCGGGACGCCGAGGAGCGGGCGCGGGACGCCGAAGTCGTCGCTCTCGCGCCAAGCGTCGACGTGAACGCGGTCGACAGTTTGACAGACGACCGAAGGCAATAATGGCTTCGATTTGACCGTGGGCATTTTTTTGAAAGGAGCGTTTGAAAGGGCCTAGCTCGGGTCAAATGCATTATCCGTTTTTCCAAAAAAGCGAGAGGGACCAAATAAAAGAACGGCGCGCGCCCTTTCGCGATCGACGCACGCGTCCCTCACTGCGTCGTCGCGCGCGTCACCGCTCGAACGCACGCCGACGCGATGTCGCTCTTCCTCGACGACGACGCGTTCGACCCGCCATCTAACGGGTGCGTGAACCGAACGCGATTTCGCGCGTCCCGTCGCCGCCCCTCGCTCCGTCGGCGGTCGTCGCGCGCGCGCGGGCGTCGCGCTGACGATGACGCGACGCGACGGGGGAAAGATCGAACGAGAGCCAAAGGGCACCGTCGGTCGCGAAGCGTCGCCGGCGACGTCTCGCGCGCGTCGTCGCCCTCTCGCGCGCCCGATTCTGTGTTCGCGCGCGCGGGACGTCGCGCGCGCGGGACGTCGCGCGCGCGGGACGTCGCGCGCGCGGGGACGGGGACTGGGACGGGGACGGGGACGTCGCGCGCGCGGCGTCGCCGCCGCGTCCCGAAACCGTCATCAGCGTCGTCATCGGAAAAGAATAATAAAATAAAGCCGCGGCGCACACCCTCTGACCTCTCTCCTCCTCCTCCCGTCGTCCTCGTCCTCGTCCGTCCTCGCGCAGACGCCGCGCCGCCGCGCAGCAACCCCCCGGTCCTCCACCCCCGGGGAACGCGCCGTACGCGGGCCGAAGAAGCGCGCAGCCGCGCGCGCCCGCGGGCTCCGTCTACGCCCCCGGCGCGCGATCGACGACGACCGCGACCGCGGTCGGCCAGATGTCCGGACGTCAGCGCCCGGTCCGCCCGGTGTCGTCTCGCGGGCCGACGCCGAGCGCGGCGCCGCCGTCGCCGCACAGCGGCGGGTTCACGATGGGCGGCGCAACGCGGCCGTCGCCGCCGCCGGGCGGGCTCCGCGGCCGATCGTCCACCGGGATCGGCGCCGCGGGGCAGCGAACGTACACGAACACGCTCTTCGACGACGACGATACAGACGACCGCGGGAATGCGTTTTCCTCCGGGGACGTCCTCAGCGGCGGCGGCGGCTCCGCGGGCGATCAGCTCGCGGTGGCGCAGAAGATGCAGCAGCAGCGCCAGCTCGCCGCGCAGAAGCGACGGGAGCGGCAGATGCTGTCCGGGACCGTGGAGGCTAATAACGGCGCGGTGGGACGCGGGGCCCCCGCGCTCGCGCCCGGGTCGTTCCGGCCGCGGCCGCCGGGCGACGGCGCTCCGATCGGCGGCGGCGCGTACACGAAGCAAAACCCGCTGCTCGCGACGGCGTCGCCGCCGATGTCCCCCGGCGGACCCGGCGTGGGCGTGGGCGCGTCGCAGTTCGACCGCTCGTCGTCCATGTACGCGTCCACGAACCTCGACCACCCGGAGCCGCCCGCGGGGGTGTCGAGTTCGTGGGACGCGCGACGCGGCGTGCGCGAGCTGGAACGCGACCTCGAAGCCGCGGGTTTGGACGCGGAGTACGACCCGAACGAGGGGCGGCACCCCGCGGAGGTGGCCGCGGAGCGCGAGCGCGAGCGGAAGATGGCGGCGGCGCGGGCGACCGGGAGCGCGAAGGCGGTGCGGATCGCGGGACGGCCGGTCGCGGCGAGGGTCGACGTCGGCGACAGGCGCGCGTTTTTGCAAAATCCGGGGCCGAAGAACGGCGCGCCGGTGCAGTGCCACATCGTAAGGAAGCGCAAGAAGGGATGGATCCCCGGCACGAAAGGAAGCCACCCGGAGTATTACCTGTGGCTGGACGGCGCGAACGCCAAGGCGGGGAGCGCGGGCGAGGACGCCAAGTTTTTGCTCTGCGCGCGACGACGGAAGAAGAGCAAGACGAGCAACTACATCATCTCCCTCGACGAGGAGGACACCGCGCGAAACAGCGGCAATTATTTCGGCAAGGTGCGTTCAAACTTCGTCGGGACCGAATTTTGCGTGTACGACAAGGGCACCGCGCCCGGGAAGGCGGTCGGCGGCGACGGCGGCCTCGCGGCGTTGAACCCGCGAAGCGAGCTCGCGGTCATCAAGTACGAGACGAACGTGTTGGGGACGAAGGGCCCGAGGAAGATGTCCGGCGCGATTCCCGCCGTCGACGAAAACGGCCGTCGCGCCCAGTTTAACCCGATCGATAAGAACGGCACGGACGGCATGATGCGCAGCCTGAAGAACAAGGAACATCAGGACATGATCGTGTTGATGAATAAGTCGCCCAAGTGGAACGAGTCCATGGGCGCGTACTGCTTGAACTTCAACGGGCGAGTCACCGCGGCGAGCGTGAAGAATTTTCAGGTGCGTTCTATACCCCCATACGACCCCGTCGGCGTGGTGAACGCCGATCCTTAAGGACTTTTCTTCCGGGCGATTCTCCCCGCCCACACCTCGCTTTCAATCCCGACACACCGCGACGCCTTTCAACTCCGCTTCTGACGCCTTTCAACTCCACCCCGACGTCGCTTTGAATGATGGAACGACCCTCAGCTCTGCGACGTCAACGCCGGGGACGGGGAGGACGACGGGCCGACGATTTTGCAGTTTGGCAAGGTTGGGAAGGACGTGTTCACGATGGATTACGCGTACCCTATGAGCGCGCTGCAGGCGTTCGGGATTTGCATGACGTCGTTCGACAACAAGCTCGCGTGCGAGTGAAGCGACGAACGAACGCAAAGGTACTGTACACGTAGCTCATCTGGGGACAGCCTTGTAACAACTTTTAACAACTTGCTCCCACAGCAAGACTCGTAACAAGTCTCGACCAAATCTGAGAGACCGCTCTCGCCACTTCGCTCGCGCGCGGGCGGCGCATGCGCGGCGGGTTCAGCCGCGCGCGGCCGCCGCCGGACCTGGATCTCGACCCGGTCACGACCGTGGACGACGTCATCGCGCGCACGGGTGCGCGACCCCCCGCGCGCGTCCGTCGCCCGTCGCGCGCGCGCCCGTCGTCTTCCGTCCTCCATCCAGCCATCATCCTCTGACCGTCCCCGTCCCCGTCCCCGTCCCCGTCCCCGTCCCCGTCCCCGTCCCCGTCGTCCTCGCAGCGACGAGCGCGCTGTCCGTGCGCCCTTCGCTGATCCCCGGCGCGGGTAACGGTCTATTCACGACCGTTCCTTTGAAGAAAGGCGTCACGCTACAGAACTGCACGTACGGCGGCGACGTGCACACGTTCGTGGAAGCCAGGCGAGGCTCCGTCGACCGATCGAATCGATCTTCTTCCCTCTCTCGGTGCCTCTTCTCCTTCTTCGCCGATCTCGTCGTTCTCCATTCGTCGTCCCGCGAATAACTCTTCTCGTTCGCGACGTTTGACCGTGACAATCGGCGGCTGGAAAACAAAGACTACGCGATGGCGATGCACTTTAACGTCCACGTAGACGCGGCGAGGCACCTGGGATACCTTGCGAGGTACATAAACGACGACGTCGGCGGCGGCGACGACGGCGGCGGCGGAAATCGAAACGTCAAATTCGTAAAAGACGCGTCCGCGCGATCGGCGACGGTGCAGACGTTGCGGGACATCGCCGCGGGAGAGGAGCTGTACGCGGAGTACGGCGAGGGGTATTGGCGGCACCGCGGTACGACGAGCGGGGTAGGTTCAACAGTAAATAAATAACTTAGGCTCTAGCTAGAGAAATGTAACGACAACTTAGTAAGGCGGCGGCGCGACGTCGCGTTCACGTCTCGATCTCGGAAAACACCCCCACGTTCGTCTTCGCGTCTTCGCCCACTCTGCCGATCTCGATCTCCGCCTGCTGCGACGCCCACATGGACGCGTACATCCCCGCTTTCGTCCCCGTGCCTTTCCCTCGCATCAACTCCGCGTGCGAGCCTGAGGTCGGGGCGGAGTCGAAAGGCGTCAGGGGTGGAGTCGAAAGGCGTCGCGGCGTATCGGGATTGAAACCGAGGGATTGTGGGCGGAGAGTGACGAACGCCGGGAGAGAAAGTCCTTAAGGAATGAAGTTCACAACGCGAACGGGGTCGTATGGGGACCAGTGTGAGATGGGACGCGCCCGACTCGACGATTTTCCCGTTCTCCATCACCACGACGACGTCGCAGCTCCGAACCGTGCTCAGTCGATGCGCGACGAACACCGCGGTGCGTCCGCTCGCCACCTCCTGCAGGCTCTGCAGGATGCCAATCTCCGTCGCGGTGTCCAGCGCGGACGTCGCCTCGTCCGCGAGAAGAAGCCGCGGCTGCCGCAGAAACGCGCGCGCGATGGCGACGCGTTGCTTTTCCCCGCCGCTGAGCTTGACGCCTCTCTCGCCCACCATCGTGTCTAACCCGTCGGGCATCAGCGCGAGCGTGGCGTCCAGCCGCGCGCACGTCGCCGCCTCGAGCACCTCCTCGACGCTCGCGTCGGCGCGTCCGTACCGCAGGTTATGGAGCAGCGAGTCGTTGAACAGGACGGTGTCTTGCGGCACGACGGCGACCCTCGAGCGCAGCGACGACTGTTTCAACTCTGTGGTGAGGGGGTGGAGTTGAAAGGCGTCAGGGGTGGAGTTGAAAGGCGTCGCGGCGTGTCGGGATTGATGAAAGCGAGGGGTACGCGGAGAGAGACGCCGGGAGAGAAAGTCCTCAAGGATCGGCGTTCACCGCGCCGACGCGGTCGTACTGGGACCAGTGTGATATATGTAGAACGCGCCTCGGACGTCGACGCCGTCGACGCTGACGGAGCCGGCGGTGACGTCGTACATTCGGAGCAGGAGCCGCAGCAGCGTCGACTTGCCGCTGCCGCTCGGGCCGACGATGCCGACGGACTGTCCGGGCGCGATGTCCAGCGTGACATCGTTTACGACCATCCGGTTGGGCGAGTACCCGAAGGAGACGTTCTTCAGGGACACCGCCGCGCCCGCGGATACCGCGGATTCGGATTCGGATTCGGATCCGAATTCGGCGGCGGTCGCGCCGGTTGACGTTCCATCTTCCAGTCCCTCCCCCTTCGATTCCTTCTTCGTCTTCTTCGTCTTATTCTTCGCGTCGTGCGGCAGCGTCTTCGTGCCGTCCACGATCCCAGACTTGGTCGCCATCACCTCGAACATCGCCTCCATGTCCACGAGCGATTGCCGCAGCTCGCGGTAGAAGAAACCGAGAAACTGCAACGGCGCCCACAGCTGCAACAGCAAACCGTTCGCCATGACTGAGGGTCGTTCCATACGAGCGAATGTCGGGGTGGAGTTCAAAGGCGTCAGAAGCGGAGTTGAAAGGCGTCGAGGGCGTGGATTGAAAGCGAGGGGTGATGGGCGGAGAGAAATGCACGCCGGGAAGTAAAGTCCTTAAGGATCGGCGTTCACCACGCCGACGCGGTCGTATGGGAACCAGTGTGAGATAGAACGCGCCCAAGTCCCCGACCCGCCCCGAGATCGGCCCGACGTACTCCAACCCGCCTCGCCCCACGCCCAACGCCGCGCACGTCAGCACGCCGGTCATCCCGATCGCGAGGATGACCGCCTGCCCCGCGTTCAGCGCGGACGACGCGCGCTCCGAACCCAACGCGGCTTCGTGATACGACCTGAGGGTCGTTCCATACGAAGCGAAGTCGGGGTGGAGTTCAAAGGCGTCAGGTGGAGTTGAAAGGCGTCGAGGGCGGGGATTGAAAGCGAGGGACCCTGGGCGGAGAGAGACGCCGGGAAAAGTCCTTAAGGATCGGCGTTCACCACGCGAACGCGGTCGTATGGGGACCAGTGTATAGAACGCACCGCAGTAATCCGTCGTATTGCCCGCTCTCGAGCTTGACGTTTCCGAACACGCTGACGGTCTCGTAGTTGAGTAGCGCGTCCACGGCTTTGCCCGTGGTGACGCCGTCCATCTCGTTGGCGATTTTACGTAACTCCGCGCTCACGCCCGTCATGCGCACGGTCCACCCGACGTAGAGGATAAACGTGGACAGCACCGCGGCGACGACGTGCCAACTGGGCGACGACGGTGAGCAGGGTCCGCGCGAAGCGAAGCGACGACGTCGGGGCGGAGTTGAAAGGCGTCAGATGTGGTGGAGTTGAAATGCGTCGCGGCGCGTCGGGATCGAAAGCAGCGAGGGGTGGACGGAGAGAAACGAACGAACGCCGGGAGGGAACGTCCTTAAGGAACGGCGTTCACCACGCGAACGGGGTCGTATGGGGACCAGTGTAAACATGGACGCGCCTGAACGCTTTCCAGAGCAGCGCGCACACCAAAACCAACTCCATCGCGGTGGGCAGAAACGTAAACACGACCGCTCGGAACACCATCGTGATCGACCGCGTCCCGCGATCGATTATACGCTGCAGCGCGCCCGTCCGCCGATCGAGGTGGAAGCTCAAATCGAGGTTAAGGACGTGGTTGAACACGTGCAACGCGACGCGGCGACCCGCCGCCTGCGCCACCGGCGTGAACGCGACGGACCGAAGCTCCGTGGCGAGACCGCTGATCGCCTTGAACGCGCCGCTCGCGATCAGAGCGTACGCCGCCGCGGTTAACGACGCGGTCACCGCGTCGGGGAGCGCGCCGAGCGACGCGGCGGGCGTCGCGTGGACCGCCGCGGTCGTGAGGTGATCGACGGCGAGCTTGAAGCAGATCGGGACGGCGAGGCCGGTGGACTGAAGGTAATTGTCCATACGAAGCGAACGTCGGGGTGGGGTTCAAAGGCGTCAGATGGAGTTGAAAGGCAGGCGTCGAGGTGTGTCGGGATTGAAAGCGAGGGGTGAGAGGAGAGAAACGAACGCCGGGAAGTAAAGTCCTTAAGGATCGGCGTTCACCACGCCGACGCGGTCGTATGGGGACCAGTGTGAGATGGGACGCGCCTTCTGAATCATCATGAACGCGACCGCGACCGCGAGCCGCGCCGCGGTGCCGCGCTGCGCGACGGAGACGCGGTAGAGGTACGGGAGGACGTCTTTCAAGCTCGCCGTCGTCGGCGGCGCGAGGAAGATCTCGTCGTCCGCGCCGCCGTCCTCGCCGGCGGCGTCGTTAAAGTACGACGTCGGCAGCGACGACGCGTCGTGCGGCGACGCCCACGCGCTGCTCGACGTCGACGCCGACGCCGACGCCGCGGGCGCCGCGGACGCCGCGCCGTCGCCGTCGCCGGGCCGACCCGCCGCCGCGGCCGCGGCGGCGGTCGCGATGGACGTGCGGCGGCGGTGGCTCGAGGACGAGGAGGACCACGTCGCGGTCCGTTCGGCGGCGGCGACGACGACGCTTCCGACGCCGACGACGACGCGACGACGTGGCGGAGTCGTCGACGCTATCGGAAATCGCGAACGATGATGACTCCGACTCCGACTCCGACGCGACCGCGCGACGACGACGACGCGCGAGGGGGGGGGCGAGACGCGATGCGCCGCGGTCGGCGTCGGCATCGCGCTCGCCGTTCCCCCGCGCGCGACGTCTCGCGCGTCGTCGTCGCGTCGTCGTGTTCGCGCGCGCTTCCGTTGTGGAAGTCGTCGCAGCGCGCGTCGCGTTGGCGGGCTTCGTGATCTCGACATCTCGTCTGCGCGAGTCGATAGAATAATGGCGCGCTCATGTCATTCCTCGACGCGTCACGGCACACGGCGCGGACGGACGCGGGGGGAGTTTTTCGATCGCGCGGACGCGCTCGAGAGCTCGCAGACGCGCGCGGGAGAAGCGCCGGTGCGTCCTCGAGTCCCCCGCCCTCGTCGCCCTCGCGCCTCGGACGACGACAGGACGGATGCTTCGTCGCGTTTCTTCCGCTCGCGAAGAATTGACATGTGCCCACCCATCCTCGGAAGCCCCGCCGCGACGTCCGTCGCGCACCCCTCGCCGCGTCCATCCTCCTCGCCGCCGCGCGCGCGCTGTGCTATTTATTCACGTATTTATTCGCGTCGTCCTCGTCCACGCTCGTCGACAGGCCGCGGTCGCGCCGCGAGATCCGACGCGGCTGGCGCCGTCGCGTCGCGCGCGTCGACTTAATTTATTCTCTCGAGGCCGGCCACCGCGTCGATCGCTCGCCGGTCGTCTTCGTCATGCGCGCGGCGCTCGCGGCGTTGGGCCCGCTCGCGACGCGCGGCTTCCCCGCCGCGCGCGCGCGCGGCCACTCGCACCGCGCGCTCCTGACCGCGACGACGCGCCGCGCGCCCCCGAACGCAGGCGCGTCGTCGTCGTCGTTCGCTCGTCTTCGCCGTCTACATCTTCTCTCTCGCGCGTCGACGATGACTCGCCGCGAGCGCGCGTCGGCGGCGACGACGAACGCACGCAGAAACAACTCGCAGAAGACGCACGTCTCGAGCCTGTCCGACCCGCTCCCGGAGCGCGTCCCGGCGTGGAGCGACCGACCGACGGATCGGGACGCGCTTCGAGAGCACTTCAGGCGCGTTCCGTTCGTTCTCCTTATTACGCCGGTACCCGCGCGACCGCGTCCGCGCGGTTCACGCCGTTCCTCGAGGACGGACTTTTCCCGGCGTGCGTTGCGTTCGTTTCTCTCCGCCCACAATCCCTCGGTGGTTTCAATCCCGACGCGCCGCGATGCCTTTCGACTCCTTCAACTGACGCCTTTCAACGCCATCCATCCCGACGTCGGTTCGCGCGGACCCTCGACCCTCAGGTGCGTTCTATACACTGGTTCCCATACGACCGCGCTGGCGTGGTGAACGCCGTTCCTTAAGGACTTTCGCCGGCGTGTCTCTCCGCCCAGGGTCCCTCACTTTCGATCCCCGCCCTCGATGCCTTTCAACTCCAACTGACGCCTTTCAACTCCACCCCGACGTTCGCTCGTATGGACCCTTGACCCTCAGCGTGAATCCCGCGTCGCGCGTCTTCTGCAACCGGTCGCTGAACATGGCGAACATCGCCGCGGTCGGGTTCGACATGGACTACACCCTCGCGATGTACAAGCCGGAGACGTTTGAGGTCTTGGCGTACGAGAGCGCGTGCAAGAAACTCGTGGAGGTGTACGGATACCCCGAGGAGATAACCGCGTTTAGGTACGATCACGCGTACATGGTGCGAGGTTTGGTCGTTGACAAGAAGCGAGGGAACATCCTGAAGATGGACCGGCACAAGTACGTCAAGGTGGCGCACCACGGGTTCCAGGAGCTCGACGCGGACACGCGGCTGAAGACGTACTGCGACACCGCGAAGGTGGATCAGTTCGACGGCGGGAATTACGCCAACGTGGACACGCTGTTCGCGCTCGGGGAGACCTATTTGTTTTGCCAGCTCGTCGAATTACGCGACGCGATGAAAGAAACGGACCCGTCGCATCCGTTTACGGCGAAGGCGTTCGACGAGATCTACGACGAGATCCGCGCGAGCGTGGACTTGTGTCACAGGGACGGGACGCTGAAGCGCGCGGTCGCGAACGACCCGGCGGCGTTCATTCACGCCGACGACGCGCTCGTGCCCATGCTCCAGTCGCTGAAAGCCTCCGGGAAAAAAGTTTTCCTGCTCACGAACTCGCTGTGGGACTTCACGAACGTCGTGATGAACTACCTGTGCACCGGGACGGTCGGCGAGGACAAGAGCGCGGAGTGGCTGGACTTGTTCGACGTCGTCGTCACCGGGAGCTGCAAGCCGGGTTTTTTCGAGAACGAACGCGCCGCCATCTTCGAAGTCGATCGCGTCACGAGGTGCGCTTCCTTCTGCGCCGCGCTGGTCCCCAGGGTTCCGCGTGGTGAACGCCGTTCCTTAAGGACTTTTCCCGCCGCCCGCTCCGTCTCTCTCGTCTGTGCCACACGCGATTCGCGTCCACGTCATCACGCCACTGACCAATCACGTCCATTCCTCCCGACTCCCCCGCCAATCATATCGCAGCGTTTTAAAAAACACGGACGACGGCGCGCCGATGCTGCCCATCGGCGCCTCCGCGGCGGCCGTCGCCGCGGACGACTCCCTTCGCGAGCTCAGGAAAGGCTTAGAGAAGCAGCACAAGACGTTTCAGGGCGGGTCGTACCGGCATCTGCACGCGATGTTGGGAATAACGGTCGGGAACCAGGTGTTATACGTCGGAGATCACATCTACGGGGACATCTTACGGAGTAAAAAAACGCTCGGGTGGAGGACGATGCTCGTCGTCCCGGAGCTCGCGCACGAGATGCGATGCTTACAAAAGAGCGACGCGCGAAACGAGTACGCGAAGATAAAGGAGTTAAGACGGCGGCGCGACGACCTCGCGGACGCGCTGCAGCTCGCGGAGGATGCCGCGCGGCACGGGAAAAACGCGACGTTCGCCCGATCGGAGTATATAACCGACGCGGAAATCGCGGCGTTGGAAAAAGAGTCCGACGCCGCGAGGGACGCGCACCGCGACGCGGTGCGCGCGCTGCACGCGGGGTTCCACCCGGTCTGGGGGCAGCTCATGAAAGCCGGGAACCAAAACTCGCGGTTCGCGCATCAGCTCGAGCGGTACGCGTGTCTGTACACGTCGCACTGTCGCAATCTGGTCGCGTATTCGCCGATGAAGAGTTACCGCGGGCTGTCCGACGCCATGCCGCACGACCTCGGCGGCGACGAAGAGGACATGTGATGACGTGTCCTCTCGCCATGATTCGATGATCGAATCGATGAAGCGAGCGTCGCGCGTGTACAATATAATACCCCAACCGCGCGCGCACGCGTTTGTACCAACAAAAGCTAATAATAAAGATGCCGATCGACCGCCCCTCCTTATCACGCCGCCATCGCGTCGTCCGCGTCGTCGTCGTCGTCGTCGCCCTTCGCCGCCTGAACCGCCGCATCCGCCTCCGCCTTCGCGTGCGCCTCGTCCAACGCCGCGATGAGCTGCTTCCCACACTCGCACGCCGTCCGCGTCATCGCGCACATCGCGTTCAGATCGATCCCGCCGCCGCCGCGTTTCCCGACGCTCCTATGGGTCAGTTTCAAAGGCGTCAGACTTGGGAGTTGAAAGGCATCGCGGGCGGGGATTGAAAGCGAGGGGTGGGCGGAGAGAGACGACGGCAAAAGTCCTTAAGGATCGGCGTTCACCACGCCGACGCGGTCGTATGGGGACCAGTGTGAATCATATGAACGCACCTAACCTTCCCCGTCGCGTCCACGCCGACGCACAACCGCGGATCGCGCATGCTCTCCTCGTCCTTCGTGGCGTCGACGATGGAGTGCTTCCCGACGCGCGTCAGCGTCACGATGACCGGCACGCCGCTGACGTCTAGACGCGAGCACTCCTCCGGGTCGTCGTCGAGCTCGAGCTCCGCGGGGTCGTCCGGATTGGGCCCCGCGACGGCGGTGACCTTTGGAATCTTCGCGTCGAAGAGCGCCGCGCGCGTCGCCATCGACAGCGCGTCCAACACGTTCCCGTCGTCCGCGAGCACGAGCCCGTCCACCTGCAAGATCCAGCAGCTCTTCCCCCTCTGAATCCCCAGCGCGGACATGTCCAGCGCGCACCCCTCGCCGTGCTTCGCCGTCCGCGCGGTGACGTTGCGCTCCCCCGCGGCGACCGCGGAGAGCGACGCGGACGACCCCGCGGTCGCGCCGAGGAGCGAACGCTCCAGCGCGCGGCTCAGCTCCGTCGCGCGCGCCTCGCCGCCGCGGCCTCCGTACGCGGTGTCGGACGCGGACGAGAGCTCGACCGCGCAACGCAGCCGGCCGTCGCCGGGGTGCTCCGCGGACGGCGCGCCGATGTCCGCCTTGACGGTGACGATGACGTCCGTGCTCCACGCGTCGAGGCCCAGTCGCGCGCGCGCGGATCCGGTCGCCTGAGGGATGACGCCGAGATCGAGCGTCAGCTCGCGGTAGTCCTCGCGCGTGCGGCCGTCGTTGCGCATGTTCTGGTCGATGCCATCGCGCACGTAATCGATCTCCGCGCGCGAGAGCGGCATCGCGCGGCGCGAGGCGCGAGTGATGATGATCAAGTTCTCGAGCCGCGACTGCTGTGAGTGAGCAGGTCCAGACTACCAGAAAAAAAGTTCCGTTGCCGCGCCGCGGCCACTCCTCCGCGCGCTCGGCACGCACGGGCTGTCAGACCGTTCGCCGTCCTCGCGTCTTCGCGCGTCGCCGCCGCCGTCGCCGCCGCCGCCGCCGCCGCCAGCCCGCCCGAGAGCCCCGCCTCCTTCGCGTCCCGGCGGATCCGCGCGGACGTCGTCTGGTCGGATCTCGCCAGCAGCCGAGCCTCGCATCGAGCGGCCGAGAACGACTCGCGAAGAGAAGACGCCGCGCGCGAACCGCGAACTGAACGATGATGAGCTCGATGATGGGCGCGCCGTCCAACTACGTCTCGATCGGCGTCGGCATGGGCGTGAAGGACCGCACGAAAGAGTTCGCCGCCGCGTGCGAGCGCGCGGCGAAGACGCTCGCGGCCGCCGGCGGCCCGGGCGGGCCCGGAGGCGCGGGATCGACGACGCCCCGGGATGGAGGATCGACGGGGGCCGACGGATACGATCCCTCGACGTCCGCGCCGCTGCTCGGAATGCATTCCGCGAACTCCTCGCACGTTCGCGACCCGATCGTCGACGGCGCGAGATCGCGGACGGGCGCGAACAGCGAGTTCGCGAAGATGGCGTCGCGCGTCGGGCACGGTATCCACGGCACGAGCGAAAAACTCGAACGACTCGCGCAGCTGGCGAAGCGAACCGGCGCGTTCGACGACCCGTCGAGGGAGATCGCGGAGCTCTCCGCGGTCATCAAGCAGGACATCACCGCGCTGAACACCGCGATCGCGGAGCTGCAGACGCGCGCGGCGACGCAGAGGGAAGACGGCGCGGCGTCGAGGCAGAGCGCGGCGCACGCGGGCACCATCGTGGACACGTTGAAGGGCCGTTTGATGGGCGCCACGAAGAGCTTCAAGGAGACGCTCACGGAGCGCGCGGAGAGCGTGAAGCAGCAGCAGGCGCGCCGCGCGATGTTCGACGGCGGCGGAGCGGGAGGGCAGAGAGAGAGGGTCGTGAACCCGTTCGCGCGCGCGGACGCCGACGGCGGGAACTTTCCGCGAATGGACGACATGAACGCGGCGCTGGGGATCCCGTCGTCGTCGTCCAAATCGTCGTCGTCCGGAGGAGGGAACCTGCAGAGCAGCGGCGCGGGCGGGCTCCCGACGTACAGCGCGGGGTCGTCGTCGTACGGGATGTACGGCGACGAGAGCCAGCAGATGCTCATGCACTCGTCGAGCCGGCAACAAGACTCGAGGACCGAGGCGCTGCAAAACGTGGAGCGGACCATCACCGAGCTCGGCGGGATCTTTCAACAGCTCGCGACGATGGTCGCGGAGCAGGGCGAGATGGCGGTTCGGATCGACGAGAACGTGGACGACGCGGTGATGAACGTGGACAGCGCGCAGACGCAGCTGCTGAAGTATCTGAATCGGATCAGCAGCAACCGGTGGTTGATCATGAAGATTTTCGGCGTGTTGATTTTTTTCCTCACGTTTTTCGTCGTGTTCATCGCGTGACGACGAGAGCGGGCGGGGGAGGCCAGGGGGAAACGCACTGGTGTGGTGGTGCGTTTTCGTTCTTCGCGCGATATAGCTAGCGAGCGGGGTTTGGTCGAAACGAGAGATGAGACCCGTAGTTTATTACTTTATTAGACCAAGTTGAACGTCGCCTCGCGGACTTTTCCTTCGCGCCGGCGACCCAATATTTTCTCGGCTCTGGATCTCTCACGAGCCAGTTCGGACGCGCGCGCGCGCTGCCCGCCCGCCGCCATGGCCGCGCCGGCGCCGAGCGAGGCGGACGAGACCACCGTCTCCCTCCTCGACGTCGCCGCCCCCGTCGACGACGCCCCAAACTCCGAAACGCCGCCGCCGAAAACGCGCCGTCTGTACGTCCTCGTCGACTGGCGGCACCGCGATCGCGCGTTCGACGTCCTCGCGACCGACGGCGACGGCGCGAGGGCGTGGCGCGGCACCGCGCGCGAGCCCGCGAACGCGCCGTTCCCGGACTGGCACGAGCGCGCGGTGATGGCGCTGGCGGGGATCGACGCGAGCGAGCGCTTCGCGTTCGAGTTCGCGTTCGGCGACGACGACGGCGCGCTGCGCTGGCGATGGCACGAGGCTGCGGGTGCCCAGATTTCGAACGCCGCGACTACGACCATCTCGACGCCGCCGCCCCCGCCCGCGCGCGTCGCCGCGCCCGCGACCGCGAAGGGCGCGCGCCGCGTCGGCCAAGTCACCCTGAAGCGACTCGCGCCCGCGGACGCGCTGGGCGCGCGTCACGTCGTCGGCCGCGTCCTGTGCGCGTACGCGACGCAGCAGACGTCGCATCGGCGAAAGATTATTCGATCGACGCGCGACGCGGCGGCGCGCGAAGAAGAGGCGAGAGAGACGCGGAAGGAGATCAAGGCGTGGACGGACGCGAAGGACGCGTGGGAGAGGGAGTATCATCGCAAGGTGGCGCGGCTGATGAACTCGAAGAAGGCGGAGCTGCGGCGGTTGGACGAGGCGCTGGAGGCGGCTCGCGACGAGAACGACGCGTTGCGCGCGAGAGTCGAATCCGGCGGCGGCGGCCGCGGCGGCGCGTCGTCGGACGCGTCCTCGGACGACGACGGCGGCGACGAGGGGATGGAGGACACGGACGACGAGCGGGAGGCGATGAAAGCCGCGAAGGCGAAAGCCGCGGCGAGGAGGTACGCGGAGGTGCGCGGAGGAGGAGGCGCGCGGAAGGCGAAGGCGACGACGACGACGACGACGACGAAGCGCCGGAAGGTCGCCGGCGGCGCGTCGGCGGCGGCGACCGACCGACCGACCGACCCGCCGCCCGTCGCGCCGGACGACGACGCGACCGCGACGCTGCCGATCGAGGGCGGCGGCGATTCCCTGCGGACGGGAGCGTCCGGGAGCGTCCTCGACGACCTGCTGTCGGACGCGGGGGCGAAGCCGTCGCAGCCGCGGGCGCCGCCTCCGCCGCCGCCGAGTCGATTGGGGGGGACGCGAGCGACCGTCGGGAACCCCGTCGGCGAAGGCGGCGGCGACGCGTCGGACGACGACCCGCTGTCGCTTCTGAACCCGACGCCGAGCGCCGCCGCGACGTCGGAAGTCGTCGAGACGCAACCGGCCGCGCGACAGTCGCAACAGACGCAAAACGCCGGCGTCGCCGGCGGCGGAAAGAGACGAAGAGGGCGCCAGGGCGGGAAGAACCCGTTCGAGGACATGGACACGCTCCTGGGGGATTTCTAGCGCGCCGGGCGGCGGCGGCGGCGGCGGCGGTAGCGTCCCGCACAGTAGGTAGACATTAGCTCGCGAGGAGACGCGACGCGTCGTTCGATAGTCCGTTCGTTCGCGTCGACGTCGACGCGCGCTCAGCCGTGTTTTGAATCTTCAGACCTCCTATTAGTCTAATGCTTCTTCGCGCGCTTCCCCGGGGGCACGATCCCGGCGGCTTCTTCCTCCGCGTCGCGCTTCCTGATCGCCTCCATCGCGTGCCCGTGATCGTTCTCGACGAGGATCCCACCCTTCCAGCACCCGGTCGCCTCCCCGATCGCCTTGTTCCTGTTGTACTCCGCGATCATCTCCTCCTTGGTGCCCGACCACCCGTGGTACCGGTTCAAGCCTTGGCTGCCGATCAGCCTAGACGCCTTGATGCGGATGAACAGCACCTCCCTCCCCGGGCAGAACTCGTCGATGATCTTCCTCCACGAGCTCGGGTCGATCCCGTGCTTCGCGATCCCTCGGTACAGGTTCTCCTTGTCGTCGTCGTTCCACTTCGCCTTCTCCGTCGCGAACACCACTTTCTTCGGCTTGAAGAAGCGCTGATCGATCGATCCGTCCTCGCACAGCGCGTCCGCTCGCGTGACCGCCTTGCGCGTCTCGTTCGCCCACGCGATGCGCGCGTCGAGCGCGGCGTCGTCGCTGGAGCCTGGCGGCGCGGGGGAGCTCATCACGTCGGTCATCGTGTCGTCGCGGACGCGCGCGCGCTGACGGGTGTGACGAGGATCTGATCTCTCGGGCGGTTGGTTTTTTCAAAAATTCGTCGGATCGACCGCGACGAGCTGTCGCTGTCGCCTCAGGTGCGTTGTTTTTCACCCTTCGCCCGGTTTCAACACTTGATCGCGTCTCCTTTCAACTGACCGATGAACTATTTTTGTATGGAATGGCCCTCAGGATCCGCGCGCGTGCCCACTCCATCCATCACTCCAGATGAGCGCGCCGTCCGCCCCGACGCTGACGCGGTGCCGCCCGTGCGCGCCCGCGACCGAGCGCGGCCGCGGCGTCCTCCTCGGCGCGTCCGCCCGCGACGGCGGCGTCCTCGTCTACGCCAGCGGCCGCGCCGTCGTCGTGCGCGCGCTCGACGACGACGCGAAAAATAATGATGTCGCGCCGCGGCTCTACCACGACCATCAGTACTCGACGACGTGCGCGCGGCCGTCGCCGAACGGCGAGTGGATCGCGTCCGGGGACGTCTCCGGACGCGTGAGGGTGTGGGGGTTGAACGACGACTTCACGCTCAAGGCGGAGCATCGACCGATCGCGGGAGCGGTGGACGACATCGCGTGGAGCGCGGACGGGCAGCGGATCGTCGCGTCCGGTGCGCGTTTACTTTCTTTCGCGCGCGCCTTCGCTCCTTTCAAACGTCTGGCGATCGACCGCGGCGCCTTTCAAATTGACCGCTGGTATTTTTTCATCTTACGCGTCGCGCCCGTCGCAGGCGACGGTAAGGGCGGCGTCTTCGCCAAGGCGTTCGCGTGGGACGGCGGCTCCGGCATCGGCGACGTGAGCGGGCAGACGAAGCGCGTCAACTCGTGCGACTTTCGCCCCGCGCGGCCGTTCAAGGTGGTCACCGCGTCGGGTGCGTTCTAATCTACAAACGTTTTTCACCCATCGCTCGGTTTCAACATTTGATCGCTTCCCCTTTCAACTGACCGATGAACTGTTTTTGTATGGAACGGCCCTCAGAGGACTTCGCGGTGTCGATGTTCGCGGGGCCGCCGTTTCGATTCGCGCGGTCGGTCCACAAGGTACGTCGTTCGTCGTCGTTCAGCGACCCGATGAACCCGCGGCTGACCGATGAACCCCTCCTTGCTGACCGATGAACCCCTCCTTTCAACAGCACGCCAACTACGCCAACTGCGTGCGATATTCGCCGAGCGGCGAACTCTTCGCGTCCGTCAGCTCGGACGGCACCGGGAAGATCTTCCACGGGGACAGCGGGGACGCGCTCGCGTCGATACCAAAAGGCGGGAAGACGGGCGGCGGGCACGCGGGGACGGTGTACGGGCTGGCGTGGAGCCCGTGCGGGACGAAAGCGTTGACGTGCGGCGCGGACAAGACCTGCCGGTTGTGGGAGGTGCGTTCGAGTCACACTGGTCCCCATACGACCGCGTCGGCGTGGTGAACGCCGATCCTTAAGGACTTTCCCGGCGCATCTCTCCGCCCACACCTCGCTTTCAATCCCCGCGCGCGACGCCTTTCAACTTCAACTGACGCCTTTCAACTCCACCCCGACGTCACGCACAAAGATTCCGGCGGCGGCGCTCGAGACCGCGCGCGGGAAAAAAAGTACGATTACACCTTCCGATCCAAACGCCGATCCATCCTCGGAATCTGAAACGTCAACCGCCGCCGCCGCCGCGAAAGCGCCGCCGAGTTGCGTCGAGCTCGCGACGTTCGCGTTCGAGGGCGGCGCGGAGGCGATGCAGGTGGGATGCGTCTTCGTCGGCGAGAGAATGGCGTCGTTGTCCCTGAGCGGCGTCGTCAACGTGCTCTCTCTCGACGACCCGTGCGGCGCGCCGTCGTCGCGCGCGCTGTTGGGCCACCCGAAGAGCGTGTCGTGCCTCGCCGTGGACGTGGACGGCGGCGGTGACGTGTTCTCCGCGAGTTTGTCGTCGCTCGCGGGGGGCGACGCGGTCGTGATTCGGTGGTCGGAGAGCGACGACGGCGGCGACTGGAGCGCGGTCGTCTCGGGGGAAAAGCACGGCCATAAATCGGTCGTCGCGATCACAGCCAAGGGCGCCGGCGGCGGGCGCGTGCTGACCGTCGGCATGGACGACACTTTGCGGGTTATAATGGTGTCAGAAAATACGGAAGGTGGTGTCGGAGATTTCGCGTACGTCCCGGGCGCGGCGTTGAAACTGACGGAGCAGCCGAGGGACGTCGACGCGGACGCCTCCGGCGCGCTCGCGGTCGTCGCGACGACGCGCGGGTTCGAACTCGTCCACGTGGATAAAACACGGCGAAACGTTTCGCCTGCGGCCGTTTTACAGAGCGCGGGGTACACGGCGTTGTCGCCGGAAGGCGGCGCCGAGCGCGTGCTGACCGCGGGGATGTCGCCGGACGGCGGAGAGGTGAGACTCGTGAGACTCCTCCCCATACGATCCTGTTCGCGCGGTGAACGTCGTTTCTTAAGGACTCTTCCCGCCCGTCGGCATCCTTCACCCGCGCTTTCCGTTCAACGTTCGACCGGCGAGACGCGAGACTGACCGACACGTCCACCCCGCGCGCTTAACGCTTCACCCCAAGGTCGCCGTCGGATGCAAAGACGGCGCCGTCCACGTCTTCGCGATATCGAAGTCGACGAACGACGGCGGCGGCGGCTCGCTGAATACCACGGAGACGCGCGTCTTGTCGCGGCACAGAGGCGAGGTCACGTCCGCGCGATACTCCCCGTGCGGCGGCAAGCTCGCGACGTGCGACGGCAACCGCGAAGTCGTCGTCTGGGACGCGCGCTCCGGGGAGGTGATCTACGATAAAGCCGTGTTCCACAAGGCGCGCGTCACGGCCGTCGCGTGGTCGCCGGACTCGAGACGGCTCGCGACGGGGTCGTTAGACGGCGGCGTGATCGTGTGGGACCTCGCGAAGCCCGCGATGAGCGGCCACGTGAAGATCGAGAACGCGCACGCGGGCGGGTGCGCGTGTTTGGAGTGGAAAGACGAAAACGCGCTCGTGACGGGCGGGTTCGACGCGTGCGTCAAAACGTGGCGCGTGCCGTGACGTGATCGGCCGCGTGGCATTCTATGATGGATATATTGTGGATTGATTTTTTATGGATGTTAACGAAGAACTACCTACCCGCGCGTCATGCACTTGCGAAGCATCGCGCGCAGGGTCTGCTCGCCCATGCCTCTCAACGCGGCGGCGTTGCGTCGTCGAATGTCGTCGCCCGGGTGGGTCTTCTCCCACAGGTCGTCCGCGGCGTCGACGTCGCTCTGCCGCAAGAGATGCAGCACCGGGTGCGGGCTTCTCCCGGTGTAATCCGCGGGGTCCGTCGCGATCGCCGTCGCCGTCGCCGTCGCCGTCGCCGCGTCGATCGACGTTTCAGATTCACCCCCCGCGGCGGCGGCGGCGGTGGCGGCGGCGGCGGCGGCGGCGGCTAAAAAATCCGCGCGGGTGTCGGCGCCGCCGTTCGTCTCCGCGTGCTTCGCGATCATCTCCCGCACCGCCGCCTCGTCCGGCGGTACGCGTCCTCCCGCGCCGCCGGTTGACGTTCCATATTCCCCCTCCTCGTTGTCCGGGACGTCCAGATACGTGCATATGTACCCGCCGGAGTCTTCTTCGTCCTCCGCGGAGTCCAACGCGCCGAACGTCGCCTCCGGGTCGACGGTCCGCGCGAAGCGACGAACGTCGGGGTGGAGTTGAAAGGCGTCAGATGGAGTTGAAAGGCAGGCGTCGCGGTGTGTCGGGATTGAAAGCGAGGGGTGAGAGGAGAGAAACGAACGCCGGGAGAGAAAGCCCTCAAGGAACGGCGTTCACCACGCGGACGCGGTCGTACGGGAACCAGTCAGCGCGAGACGGGACGCGCCTCGGGATGGAACGGCACGATCTCGATCAGCTCCCCCACCAGCGCGTCTCGCGTCGCCGCGTCGCAGCGTCTCGCCGTCAGCGCTCGGCTCTCGTCCTCCGCGACCGCGACCGCGCCCTCCATGAACGCGCCGAACGATTTCGCGTCGAGCGCATCCAGGGCGTCCGGGGGCAGGACGACGAGCGTCGTGACCGCGGCGGCGGTCGGCGCCGCCGCGAGGACGTCGAGCTCCGCGCGGATCTCTGCGCGGAGGGCATCGAGCGTGCGCGCGTTCGCGACGACGACGGACGTGCCGGGCATCGCCGCGCGCGCGAACGGGCAGAGGTTGAGGCCGACGACGATGTCGTCGAGCCACGCGCGCGTGTCGCGCTCGACCGCGGAGGAGGAGGAGGAGGAGGAGGAGGTGGAGGACGTCGACGACGACGACGACGAAGTCCTTAAGGAACGGCGTTCACCACGCGAACGCGGTCGTATGGGAACCAGTGGAGACGACGCGCCCGTCGTCTTCGTCGCCGTCGACCGAGACGACGACGGCCCCGCGCCCGCGGACGCGCGACGGCGGTGGACGTCCGCGACCGCGACCGCGATCGCGAGCGACGCCATCCTCGGAGCGGCGCGACGGAGGCGGCGCGGCGCCCTGAACTAACAATCCGATTGGGTCGTCTCAGCTCAGGTGCGTTCTATACAAACGTTTTTCACCCACCGCTCGGTTTCAACATTTGATCGCTCCCCCTTTCAACTGACCGGTGCACTGTTTTTGTATGGAATGGCCCTGAGAGAGACAGAAAAAGCGACCTGATGCATGACTGGATCGGCCTCCCGTCGTCGTCAGTCCGCCGCCGCGCGGGCGCGCGCGTCATGCCGCCAAACATCGCGCGCATCAAGGACACGTGCTTCCACGGCGAGGTCTACGAGCCCGCGGAGGTGCGTAGCCGCGTCTATCCTCGAATCATTCCCCGCCCGCCCCCCCCTCCCGTCGTCGCTTTCGACGATCCCGCCATCATCCTTCCGCCCTCGCGCGCGCGTGCCGACATCCACCCGCCCCTCCCTCCCGCCGTTGCGCTCTGTCCCTTGCAGGACAGCTTCCTCCTCGTGGACGCGCTCGCGGCGGAGTGGGACACCACGTTTCGGACGCGACCCCCGCGCGTCGCCGTCGAGGTCGGATGCGGGACCGGGTACGTCATCGCCTCCGCGGCGTTGTTAGCGTCGGCGTCGGGGATCGTCCCCGGGGACGCCGTCCCCGGGGACGGCGGGGACGGGGAGATCGACCGCGTCCAAAACGCCGCCGCCGCCGCCGCTGCCGCCTTCGCCTACTACGCCACGGACATCAACCCGGACGCGCTCGCGACGACGCGCGCGACGCTGCGAAACCACGGCATCGCGGACGAACGCGTGGAGCTGACGCGCGGCGACCTGCTGGGCCCGCTGCGCGAGCGTCTGCGAGGGAAAATCGACCTGCTGCTGTTCAACCCGCCGTACGTGTTGACGCCGTCCGAAGAGGTGCGCGCGTGCGTCGAACCCTAATAAACCCTACCCCTAATAACCCTAATAAGCCTTCAAACCCTACATCATCCTATCTATCCACTGACGTCCGACGCCTCGACGCCTCGACGCGCCCAGGTTACGAGGGGCGGGATCGCCGCGGCGTGGGCGGGTGGGAAGGACGGCCGGGAAGTCGTCGACCGCCTTCTCCCGGACGTCGCCGACGTCTTATCGCCGGACGGGGGAACGATGCTCATGATACTATTGGAGCAGAACAAGCCGAGGGAGGTGATGGCGGTCTTGGAGAGAGCCGGACTGAGATGCGACGTCGTGAGGAGCGCGTCCGCGGACGAGGAACGCCTGCACGTCTTACGCGCGGTGAAGGGCGGGGATCGATGAAATGAATCATCGTTACGAGTAGACTCTAGATTAATTTTTTAATTCATCGAACGCCGCCGGCGGACGGCGGCGGCGACGACTTCTTAGCCCTAGGCATCAGACGCGTCGTCACTCCATCATCTTCATCGCGGCCTCGGCTTTGAGCTCCGCGATGACCTTGTTCCTCGACTCCGCGTCCACGATCTTAATCCCGCGCACGCTGCATCCGAGCTTCAACTTAATCTTCGCGCCCACCCTCCCGACGGGCACGCCCTTCACCATCTTCCTCGACCCGCGGACGCTCGCGCCCGCCCTCCGCTCGCGCTTCACGACGCCGCCGACGCCCCCGCGCGCCACCCCGAGGAGCGCGCCGCCGCCGCCGCCGCCGCCCTTCGCCGCCGCGCCCTTCGTCTTCGTCTTCGTCTTCGTCTTCGCCGCCGCCGCCGCGGCCGCCGCGGCGTTCGCGCGCGCGTCGTCGTCCGTGAGCATCGCGCCGTCGCGCTCCGCCGCTTCCTCCGCGGCGCGCTCCGCGCGCTTCGCCGCCTTCGCGGCCTTCTTCTCCGCGGCCTCGCGCTCGAGGCGCTTCGCTTCCTCTTGCGCGCGGCGGTACGTCGCCTTGTTGTTTTTCTTCGACATCGCGCGCGCGCGGACGGACGGACGTCGTCGTCGTGCCGGCGCGCGTCGCAGTGGCGGCGGTCGCGGACTTCGCGCGAGTCGAGCAGAGTGGATTTTCCGTCAGCAGCGAATGCTGATGAGATCCGCGCGGTCCTTCGCGCCAGTCCACCGCGCGCGTCGTCGCTTCGGCTCCCCCAAGACCGCCGACCCCCCGCGCGCGTCGCGCCGCGCCGCGCCCACGCCGTCGCCATGGGATGCTGCGCGAGTAAACCCGAAGAGAAGGACGGCGAGAAGGCGCGCGACGCGACGCCGCGCCCGCCGTCGACGCCCCGATCGATTTCGAATCACGACGCGACGACGACTCATCACTCGCCATCGCGCTCACCTCGCCTCAACTCTTCACCCCTCGCCGCGACGCAGGTCGTCCACCTCTCGATCCCCGACCCGGCGACCGGGTCCTTCGACGAGCGCGGCGCGGCGTCCGGGACGAAGGCGGCGCGCGAGCCGCCGCGGTCGCCCTCTCCGCGCCGCGCCGACGACGACGACGACGACGCCGGATCCGCGCGCAGCGGCGACGGACTGCGGTACGACCCGGAAGAGGACGGCCGCACGTCGTCGTCCTACAGTTCTTCCTCGTCGTCGTCCTCGATCGCGTCGTCGTCGTCGAGCAGCTCGTCCGACGACGGCGCGTCCTCGAGCTCGTACAGCAGCAGCAGCAGCTCGAGCGACGACGACGACGACGACGACGACGACGACGACGACGACGACGACGACGGAGACGAGACGGCGGCGGCGGCGGGGAGAGTCGTCGGGAATCGGAGAAGAAGAGTTCGCGCCGTGGGGTCGCCGCCGTCGCGTCGAGACTGACGACGAGCACTATCGTAGCTACTAGCGTATTATTATTAAGAAAGAATCGTCCGTCCGTCCGCCCGTTCATCGAAACGGCCGCATCGTGTCGGTTACCACTACCGTTCGTCGCGGACCCGCTCCATGATCTTTTGCGTCGCGCGCGGGATCGCCACCGTCGCGAGCTCGCTCCCGTACATCTCACACGCGCGCCGCGCGCCTTGCTCCCGCCCCTCCCGCCGCGCCCTCGACGCCTGGTCGAGCGCGTTCTCGCGCACCGCCTCGACCGCGCCCTCCGCCGCGGCGAGGCGCGCGGCGAGGTCGGCGTTCGCCGCCTCCGACGCGGCGAGCTTCGCCGCGATCGCATCGTGTCGCGTCCCCATGGCGCGCATCGCCCCGCGCGCGCCCTCGAGCTCCTCCTCCAGCGCTTCGATGCGCGCGATGTCGGACGCGGCGCGCGCGGCCGCGCCGGCGGAGGACGCGGGGACGCCGACCGGGGGGGGCATCGCGCTCGCCGCGGGCGCGGGCGCGGGGGGCGCCGAGCCGCGCGCGCGCTTCGACGACGACGCCTGGCGCCGCTCGGCGTCGTCGTCGTCGCCGCCGTCGTCGACGTCGTCGACGTCGCCGGCGATGGCCCTCGCCGAGGCCGCCGCCATCGCGAGGTAGTCGTCGTACGCCCGCTTCGCCGCCGCGATGGGGTCCATGGTCGGCGAGGTCGCTCCGCGTTCGCGCGCGGCGCGCAGTGACGCGGCCGACGGCGAAGGATCGGATGGCGCGAAAAAAACCAGAAAAAAACTTTCTGTCGTCGCGTCTGGTCGCTCCGCCCCCGCGCACTCCTCCGCGCGCGCCCCACGCCGCGAACGGACCACCCCACGACTTCCGTCGTCGCGCGTCTTCGCCGTCGCCGTCGCCGTCATGAACGCCCGCGTCGTCGCGCTCCTCTGCGCGCTCGTCGCGCTGCTCTCCCTCGCGTCCGTCCCCGTCGCCGTCCGCGCGGACGACGACGGCGTCGACAACGACGACGACGACGCCGACGCGATGAGATCTTCTTCCGTCGCGTCATCGTCGTCGCGCCTCCCGCGCGTGTCGCTCTCCAAACGCGTCGTCGACGCGCGCGCGGTGCACGCGCGCGTCGTGGCGACGCGCGCGAACGAGGCGAACGCGAGGTTGAACTCGATGTACGGCGCGGACGCGGACGCGCGCGTGGTGCGTCCTCCGCGCCCCTTCCTCCCTCCCTCCCGGCGTTCTCGCGAGACGCGCGCGACGCGAAAGGACGGAGAGGAATATGCTTTTTCTTTTCTCCGCCGCCGCCGCCGCCGCCGCCGCCGCCGCCTCGCGTCCAAACCCTCTAAACCCCAAACCCTAACCCCAAACCCTATCCACCCACCCATCGACCCACCCGCCCGCGCGGCGCGCGACAGAGCATCACGAACTACATGGACGCGCAGTACTTCGGCGCGGTCTCCATCGGAACGCCGCCGCAATCGTTCGACGTCGTCTTCGACACGGGCTCTTCCAACCTCTGGGTCCCGTCTTCCAAGTGCAAGTTCACGCAGATCCCGTGCGATCTACACCACAAGTACGACGCGAAGGCGTCGTCCACGCACGCGCAGAACGGCACGGACTTCGCGATACAGTACGGCAGCGGCTCTCTCAGCGGGTTCTTATCCGCGGACGTCGTCGGGTGGGGCGGCCTCGAGATCGCTTCGCAGACGTTCGCCGAGGCGACGCGCGAGCCGGGCCTCGCGTTCATGTTCGCGAAATTCGACGGCATCCTCGGGATGGGTTGGGACACCATCTCCGTGGATAAGGTGGTCCCGCCGTTCTACAACGCTTACGCGCAGGGGTTGGTTCCGGACGACGTCTTCTCGTTCTGGCTGAACAGGGACGAGTCGCATCCCGACGGCCCCGGCGGCGAGCTCGTCCTCGGCGGCGTCGACCCCGCGCACTACGTCGGCGAGCACGCGTGGCTCCCGGTCACGCGCGAGGGGTACTGGCAGGTGCGAATGGACGACGTGATCGTCGACGGGGCGTCCGCCGGCGAGTGCGACGAGACGGACGGATGCGCCGCAATTTTGGACACGGGGACGTCGCTCCTCGCGGGCCCGAAGGACGTGATCGAGAAGATCAACGCGAAGATCGGCGCGCGGCCGATACTGAACGAGGAGTGCAGGGTCATGATCGAGCAGTACGGCGAAGAGTTAATCGACGACGTGAAAAAGTTTGGCCCCAAGGCGATTTGCGTCTCCGCCGGGTTGTGCCACGAGAAGACGGAACGTCAACCGCCGCAGCGGCCGGCCTCCTCCTCCCCGTTCGATATTCTCGGGCGGCTCGCGAAGAAGTCGCGCGCGCGCGCGTCCGTAACGCGGCGCGTGCTCGAGGGCAGACGCGGACGCCTCTGGGCCGACGCCGCCGCCGACGCCGACGCCGCGTCGCAGCCGGCGTCGTGCCGCGCGTGCGAGATGGCGGTCGCGTACGCGCAGTCGCTCATCAAAACGAACGTCACTCGAGCGTTAATACTGAACGAGCTCAAATCCCTGTGCGATCACATCCCGTCGAAGGGCGGCGAAGCGGTGAGACGACTCCCCGTTCGACCCTCGTTCGTGCGTCGTTCGTTTTCTCTTCGCCCGCGCTTTCCTTTCAACGCGCCGCACGTCGTTCGACCGCGAAGACGTTTCACTGACCGACACGCGCGCACCCGACTCGTCGTCGAAGGGCGTGGACTGCGACGCCGTGGACGCCATGCCGGACGTCTCGTTCGTCTTGGGCGGAAAGGCGTGGACGCTGACCCCGCGGCAATACGTCTTACGCGTCACCTCCGGCGGCGGCGGCGACGACGACGACGAAACTGAACGCGAACGCGCGGACGAGGAGGACGCGGACGCGATGGACGAAGAAGGCAGGGGCCGCCACCACCACCACCATAAGCGCCCGAGGCCGCCGACGCACGCGCCGCCCGAACCGCCGAAGCCGAAGCCGAAGCCGAGCGCGGAGCAATGCGTGAGCGGGTTCATGGGTAAGAGTCGCGTCACACTGTTCCCCATACGACCGCGTTCGCGTGGTGAACGCCGATCCTTAAGGACTTTTGCCGTCTTCTCTCTCCACCCACCCCTTCCTTTCAATCCCCGCCCGCGACGCCTTTCAACTCCGCTTCTGACGCCTTTCAACTCCACCCCGCAGGTTTGGACGTGCCGCCGCCGGCGGGGCCGCTGTGGATACTCGGCGACGTCTTCATCGGGCCGTATCACACGGTGTTCGATCACGGGAACGCGCGCGTCGGGATCGCGGAGGCGCGGTGAGAGAAGACCGAGAGAGAAGACCTCCGCGGCGAACCGAGCCACCGACCGTCTGTAACGCAACGCAGTGTCTCTGCACATTCACATTCGCCTTCGCTCTTTCTAAAATACTACAACCGGCTACGGTCCCGACGCGGCGCTCGTCCTCCTCCTCCTCCTCCTCCCGCCGCCGCTCACTCCGCCGCCGCCGCGTTCGGGTCGACGCCCAGACCGTCGTAGATCATCTTCACGATGGTCGGCGCGTCCACGCCCCTCACTTCCTTCTTCTTTCCGTCCTTGTAGAACAAAAACACGGGCTCGCACGATCCGACGTAGTCCTTCGCCGCATCGATCTTCGACGCGTCCGCGGTGAAAAACTTGATCGGTTTGTCCCCGTGCTCGAAGAAGATCTTCTTGAACGTGCTCTGGATCGCCTTGCACGGGCCGGTCCACGACTGGTGCACGTCGATGACTGCGCGCGGGAGAGGACGGAGGACGGAGCAGAGGTCATCAGCGACGAACGAACGAACGAACGAACGAACGACGATGAACGGGAACGTGTTCGATGATTCGTCGCGGGGGGCGCGGGGCGAGGACGACGGCGAGGCGACGACGCACTCTGGAACATCCCGGGCGTCTCCATGATCTCCAGCTTCCACGACGCGTCGTCCGTCAGCGCGGTTTGGAACGACATCGCGCGTGCGGGTTCGCGCGCGCGGGTGACCTCGCCGGAGGGCGGGCGCCGTTTTTGGCTCCGGTAGCGGTCGGTCACAGCCAGGCAGAGTCGCTCTCTGCTCGGTTCGTTCAAATCTCGTCGCGTCGCCGCCCGTCACTGCTCGCCCCGCGCGCCCGCCCCCACGATGACCGCCGCGGTCGCGGACGGCGGCGGCACCGGCCTCGTGATAAACATCCGCAGATGGCAGGGCGTCGGCGTGTGGACGTGGAACGCGGGAGACAAGGACGACGTGTGCGGCATCTGCCGCGTCGCGTTCGACGCGTGTCCGCCCGAGGCGAAGTTCCCAGGCGACGACTCGCCCGTCGTGTGGGGACAGTGCGGACACGCGTTCCACCTGCAGTGCATCACGAAGTGGCTCAACTCGCAGGCGGAGCAGCGGTGTCCGATATGCCGAGGCGCGTGGGAGTTTAAGCAGCTGAACGCGGCGGGGGAGGAGGGAGGGGCGAGGACCAGAGCGGCGGACGGGGAGGACGAGGAGGAGGACGAGGAGGAGGAGGACGACGACGACGACGACGCCATGGACGAGTCGTGACGACGACGACGACGACGACGACGACGACGACGACGACGACGCGACCGCGATAGAGCTAGCACCGCGGTGGGCGCATCGTAGGAGAATACGACGAAGACAACGTGATCATCTTTCATCACAAACAACGCGCGCGTGACTACCCTCGTCGCGTTACCGACGCGTCCACCCCGGGCGAATCGAATCGAATCATCAGAACCGAATCAGAATCGAATCCGCGTCGGATCGACGCTCCGCTCCGCTCACAGCAACGCGACGTCGTTCTCCCAACCCAACTCGTCGTCGAACTGCAGATCGAGCACCATCCCGAGGTCGCCCTCGTCCTCGCCCTCAAACCCGCCGTCGTCGCTGTCCGCCTCGCTGCTCGTCTCGTCCCCGTCCGCGCCGCCGCCGCCGCCGCGTCCGAACCCGAACCCGAACCCGCCCATCCGCGACCCGCCGCCCTCGTCGCCGTCGCCGTCGCCGTCGTCGCCGTCGTCGCGCGCGATCGCAGCCTCGAGCTCGCCGACCCGCCACAGCGCGTTCGAGCACACCGCCGCCCACGACGTGGGACCCACCGCGGGCCGTCCGATGGCCTGCCGCGTCCGCCGACGCTTCATCTTCCACGCGCCGGACGAGCGAACCCCCGCGTTGGAGTCGACGAACGACCGCCCCGCGCGCGCGTTCAGACGCTCGTCGCCCTTGAACCGGAACCCCTGGTGCTTGTCCGCCGCCGCCGCCGCCGCCGCCTCCGCCGCGACCTCGGCGGACGCGCGCGTCGGCCTGCCGGGGCCTCGCGCCGCGCCCGCGGCCGCGCCGCCGCCGCGGCCGCCGTTGTACCCCCTCGCGCGCGCGCCTTTGCTCGGCGGTTTGACCTCGATGTCGGAAGACAGCTTCGTGCCGTCGCGATGGTGCGAGAGATACTTTTTCTTCCCGCCCGCTTTTTCTTCCTGAGCCCCGCGGCTCGCCCCCGAAGGAGCGCTCTTGCGGCCCTTCCCCGAGCCCGGCGGACGGCCGCGCGTCGCGGGCTCGTGACTTCGGTACGGCGGCCCGGAGTCCTCGTCGTCGCTCGGATCCGGCGGCGCGGGCTCGCCCTCCATTCGGTATCTTCGCGAGTCGTAGATGCCGAACCGTCGGTCCTCGATGACTTTCCCGCCGCCGCCGCTCGTGCCGCCCTCCTTGTGCGACGCGCGTCGCGCCTTTTTCGCCGCTCTCTCTACCTCCTCGGAGTCCTCCTCGGAGTCCTCCTCCTCCTCCTCCTCCTCCACCACCACCACCACCACCACGAA